TGTGTCGTCGTTGTCGTCCGTTGATGCGTGGCCGTCGTCGTCGTCGTCCGCTGACCTGTCGTGTCATCCGTTGACGTGTCGCCCTCGTCGTCGTTGCTGACGTGTCGTCATCCGTCGTCATCGTCGTCGTCGTCCGCTGACGTGTCGTGTCGTCCGTTGGCGTGTTGTCGTCGTCCGTCGTCGTCGTCGTCCGTTGACGCGTCGTCGTTGTCCGTTGGAGTGGTGGCGTGGTGACGTGGGGATGGGTGTCGTTGATGATGGTGGTGGGTGAGGAAGAAGAGGGTGAGTGTGGATGATGCCAAATCAAATGTCGGCAAACGCCGAGGCTCGATTTGGGCATCGGCATATTAATGTTTATTAATATTATTGATTAGTAATGTAAATTCCAGTCAGTGCATTCCGGTGTCATTCCTTTTTGTCCATTCCGGGGACCATTCCGGCTACTAATCAGGAATGACATCATTCCCGAGGAATATTTGTCCCCCGGAATGTCATTTTGGCTGGTGTCTCTGCCAAATTTGATTCCTCTGGATTCCGCCGGATTCCACAGGAATGACCGGAATCCGGAAGGAATCAGTGGGGCATGATAAAGACCTCGTCTGAACCCATTGCAGTTAGCAACGGGCTGGACCAGGGATGCACGCTGTCCATGTACCTCTATAACCACTACAACGCGGGGCAGGTCGACGGTTCAAGAGGAAGGAGTGGGGAGATAGGTGGAGGCTTTGTGGACGATTCAATGGGGGCAGCTGAGGGGGGGACGATGGAGGAGGTGGTAGAAAACGCGATGGAGCTCTTCGCTAGGCCAGGGGGGCCGAAGGAATGGGCAGACACGCATGGGGCAGTCTATGACTACGACAAGTTCGCCTACATCGGTTTTTCGAGGAGGAAGCATAGAGAACCAGGGTCAAGAAGGCCACTGCCGGAGATAAGGCCAGACATCAGAATCGGACAGCATACCATACGGCCAACGAAGAGCCACAAGTTCTTAGGGTTGATAATGGACGAAGAGCTGCGATTCAAGGAACATGCGGCACACGCTTTAGCAAAGGGGACGAAGTGGGTAACACAATTTCGAAGGACGGCAAAGATGGCAAAAGGAATGAAGGGGGAGTTTATGAGGGCTATGCTATATGGGGTGGCGCTACCTAGCATGCTATACGCGGCAGATGTGTGGTGCGTGCCACCAGTGAGGAGGGAGAGTGGGAGGCAGACTAGAGGGATGAAGGGATTCATTGCGAGGATGGAGAGGGTTCAAAGGCAGGCGGCAATACAAATCACAGGAGCGTTGAGGACGACACCGACAGACTTACTACTCGCACACGCCGACATCGCACCAATCAAATACCACTTGCGCAAGATATGCCACAGCGCGGCACTGCGGATTGCGACACTGCCCCAGACAAATCTGATTGGTAAAGCCGCTAGGAAGGCAGCAAGAAGACACGTCAAACGATTGCCATCACCACTACACAACATTATGGCGATGCTACAGGTGCAACCCGATGAGGTAGAGAAAATACCACCTGTTAGAAAGCACCCACACTGGAAATCGGCAATAAAGACAGTCATACTGGAAAACAAGGAAAAAGCAGAGGAGAGGGAGTTGAATAATGAGGCGGAAATCAAGGTGTATTCGGATGGGTCAGGATACGAAGGAGGAGTGGGGGCGGCAGCAGTGCTTTACAGAGGGTTCAGGCCGGTCAAGGCTCTGCGACACTACTTGGGGACGCTGGAGGAACCACGGTGTATGAAGGAGAGTGCGTGGGGATGATGTTGGGGCTGGAGCTGATTAGGAGAGAGACAGGCTGGGTGATGGAAGCGACGATGGGAGTGGACAACCAGGCGGCAATTACAGCAACAGGGGCAGGAATGCCAGCTACGGGATCATATATTACCGACAAGATACACACGAGCTATCGAAGAGTCATGGAGAGGCACAAACACCTGAAACTCACCTTGGGCTGGGTGCCGGGACACAAAGGCATACCAGGCAATGAAAGGGCGGATGAAGAGGCCAAGAAGGCAGCAGAGGGCGCGCACAACAACACATCAAACCGGATACCATTCCTGATGAAAGGGCTGTTGAAGAGCAAAGCGGCGCTACGACAAGCGTACAGAGCAAAGGTCAAATTACAGGTCACCAACAAATTCAAAGACAGTCCCAGATACCAACGGGCTACACGCATTGACAGCACAACCCCTTCAAAGAGATTCCGGCAAATGACAGTGAAGTTATCACGCCGGCACGCAAGCATACTCATTCAGCTCAGGACCTGCCACATACCGCTGAAACATTACCTTTACCGGTTCAAATGCGTAGAATCGCCTCTTTGTGAGGCCTGTGAACAAGCCAATGAAACAGTCGAGCACTATCTACAGGAATGCCCTGCATACGGGCCCCAGTGCGACAAATTCCGGGCAGCAGTACACCGAGAGATAGACTCTATTGCGAAAACGTTGTCCGACGCGAAGATGCTACCACACCTCTTTGAGTTCATTTCGGGCACAAAACGGTTTGAAGAGCAATATGGCGACCTCACATACAAGGACTCTGAAGACAACTAGAAGCCAGCCCAGTGACGAAACGGCTGCTGCATCAGCCACGGCCCACCTCTCCCCTCTCTCCCTTCCCTCCTCCTTCCCTCTCCACCTCCACTCTCCCTCGCTTCCCCCTTTCTATTTCTCCTCTTTTCTTTTACTTCTTTCTTTTACCTCTTTCCTTCTCTCCTTCCCTCTCTTTCTCTTTCTTTTTTCTTTTTCTCTATATTCACTTCCCCTACATTACGCAACATATATTCTTCAAATCGCTCCATCATATCTTACCTACACCTAAATTACACTACAGGCCACCGCTGCCATATTATCACCGCGTGTCGCATTTGCAGACCCACCTTCACGGATTAGTAGACACCCGCATTTAGGCCAGACTCGCACGTAGACAGTCCTTGTATGTAAATTCCGGCATAGGGCTTCGCCCCAATGGAATAGAATGGAACGAAAAAAAAAAAAATTCATCCGTTCCCTGCAACTCCCGCGCCCTCCTGGCAGCATGTACGTGTTAGGTTTAAATGTGAAGTCTTTGTGTATGTGTAATTGTCTGCTTAGGTGTCATTTCAGTTCGTCGTAGGTAGTAAAAGGAAATATAGTAGTTTTGTTAGCTAAAAACTTGTGTAGAAGAGAATATGATACTCACGTTGCGTGAAACTGCCAACACATCAACAATGCGCTTGAAAACAATCACAGGTGTCAGTATTGTGCAGGATGAGCGACGCAGCGTAACTACTCACTTTGCGTCGCCTTTCCCACTCCTTAGGAGCCTGTCCCAGCTCGTAAACGCGAAGCGCCACCTTTCCGTAGCATGTCCATCTGTTCCCAACACTCCTGTGCCTATCCTACAGTGTTTACGCGCTTTCAGCGCTTTGATTAGAAGACAAATATTGATCTTATCACGCAATGTGATTCATTATAACGTGACTACAATAGCTCCCGCCAGCCTTGTAATCCATTACTATTATAAGGCATCACGGATTTTTCCGACACACGGCATCTTCCGCATCTTTGGTCACGGCTTCAATGCGTCCTCGAGACGATTTCCATGAAGATACGAAGATCCCTTCATATGTCTGTCTCTTCACGTACTGTGCTACTTGGGGGCCGCAATCTACTCCTAACTCAATAGGAGGCCATGTATCGTGTGAAGTAAGGTGTCACCAAGTCCACCATAAAAAAACACAGATAATAATATTACTGTATGTTCTTGCTCGATTTTTACATTCTGGGGCTCATAGGAACCCTCTAGTTAGTGAGAAACACAGGCCCAGTTTATGAGAACCTGAGTGGTGACATTCCCGCTCATCACAAGCTTTTTCCAGGGTCATCACCAAAAGACACAGAGCATGTCATATTTTGTAAGTTCTTGCTCGATTTCTACGTTTTGAGGCTCAAAAAAACCGCCTAGTCAGTGACAAACATGTGCCTCATTTGCGAGAGGCTGCACATTAATGTTCCAACTTGTCGCAAGTTTTTTTCAGGGGTCATCACTAAAAAATGCAGGGCATGTCATGTTGTTGTAAGTTCTTGCTCAAATTTTACGTTGTGGGACTCATAGGAACCACCCAGTTAGTATGAAACAAGGGCTTTATTTCTGAGACGCTGCAAATCCAACTTGTTGCAATGTGTTGGGGTGGCACTTCATCAAAATTCACAGAATATGTCATATTATTGTGAGTTCTCACTCATTTCTTACATTCTGGGGCTCATATGAACCATATAGTTAGTGGGAAACTTGGGCCTTTTCTTAAAAAAGCTGCGCATCAGCATTCGTCCTCTTCGCAATGCTTTTGATGGAGACATCATCGAAAAACACAGCCACGTCATATCATTGAAAGTCCTTTCTCAATTTCTATGTTCTGGGGCTCATAGGAGCCCCCTAGCTAGTGGGAAACTTACAGCCCATTTGCAAGAAGCTACGCATTGAATTTCGAACTTGTCGCAATGCTTTCGAGACATCACCAAGAAACACAGATAACACAGATAATGCAATATTATTGTAAGTTCTTGCTCAATTTTTATGTTCTTGGGCTCATAGGAACTGTCTAGCTAGTGGGAAACATAGGCCTATTTTTTGAACAATTGCACATTGACGTTTGCGCTCATCGCAAGATTTTTTTGGGGTGTCATCACCAAAAAACACAGAACATGTCATATTATTGTAAGCTTTTGCTTGGTTTCTATGTTTTGTGGCTTATAGGAACCATGTCGTTGGTGGGAAATGTGGGCACCATTTTTTAGAACCCATACATCTGCGTTCGAGCTTGTCACAATGCTTTTGGGGGTCATCACCAAAAAACACAGCATGTTAATGTGTGATATTTTGTTAATAATGTGTGATATTTGTAGAACATGTTGATAATGTGTGTGTGATATACATACATATTACCTACATCTAAGTAACATAAGATTGCTGAGGGGGAGGTCGGAGAAGTGTTCTCTCAGCCAGCACCGAACATAATTGTGCGTGAACAAACGGGGTCCAAACAGGACACAGAACACAAATCGGCAAACGCCGCGGGGTGATGGAGCGCCGAGAGAAGTCAAACTTGAGTCAAACGTCAAAATCCTACCGTGGAGATCCCGCCAACGCTACGTGGGTGCTTGCCTGTGTTTGCGGCAGGTGATCACTGAATGTGACGTTGACGCATTCTTGTACGATTCACGTTGCAAGGATCCGGATGGCTTCCCCTACACAGGTATAGATGAACGAATACATGCAAAGTCGAAGGTCGGTTGACATCCGCCTAGTGTTTGAAAGTCCGGTTAGGTTAGGTTATTGGGTGCCCAGGGGCTCTAACCGAGACCGAGACCGGTTAGGGTTCGTTCCCAGACCCAAAATAACCTAACTGGACCGAAGATAACCGATGAAAACCGGTTATTTCATTTCCAGAATTGACTAACCACTAACCGCGGTCCGGTTTTTTTGTGGTTAGGTCCGGTCTGGTCTCGGTTATTTTCCAGTTAATTAACCTAACTTCCAAGCACTACATCCGCCTGTGTTTTTCCCTTTGGTAAAACACTTGTATTGGGCCTATCTCACCAAAATCTCCACACTTTTTGACTCATAGAGAGGAAGAAAGAATATCCTCTCGGGAATCTCAGACCGAAACACGCATGTTTCCTCCTTATGCTTTTACTGCGCTCTTTGTCCATGGAAATCATGACTGGTGTGCCGTCCTCTGGCTGTTTCCGGCACAACCTATCCATCTCCACCTGTCTTCAAGTTGGAGTTACAAGCTCCACCACCTCGTCCCACTCATTGAACGACAAACCCCCAACGTGTCGATAAAGATTCCTCATATGGCATAATGGCAGGTCATTTTCTGTCGCTTTGGCTTTGGCTTCTGGGAACCTGTGTGTTCCGGTGCTTCTGAAGCGATCGGAAAGGCAGTGGCCGCAACAGACAAGAGGTGATTATGGGCGAAGAGTGGCTCTTTGTGAAATGGTTCCAATTTGGGGGGCAAGTAGGGTGGAGACTATAGTTGCCCAAGTGTGATGGAAGCGCTTGGACGCCATTCACTGCAGACGCTCCCTGTGATGTTGGGACACGCTTGTTCTGACGTTTCAAGGCTCTCCATGTATCCGGCATTGTTTGGACGTTGGCAGGTCTCTGTTTCTGACCCCATCTCATCATCAACATTCTCACCTCTCCTCTTCGCATTTTCTCTGGTCGCCTCCCTCCCCCTTCATCATCTTTCATGGATTGACCACCTCACAGGCTTACGCAGGCACCTTCTCATTCCCATCCCCACACTCCTCAGCCGGGTTCTATTTCCCAAGCCAAAGCCGCGTTAGCTCAGGGGTCAAGTACGGCCCATCTTTGAAGGCTTCACGAAGCAGTAGCAGGGTGCCTTTGAAGTCAGATGGTAATCGCAAGCTGTGACACACGATTTGTCTCGGGTTAGATACCTGTTCTTGTGGAGGGGGCTGGTTATCCTATCACGATCAGGATCGCGTTCGCTGCTCACCACATCCACCAGTACCACAATCCTCCGCCGCTTCTTCATCTTGCCCACCCTTCTTCAGCTTCCTACATCCACGTCGTGTGTGCCGACTCCCTTGGCTTCTCTGTTCACCTTCCCCTCATAAAACTTCTCCCTCACCTGGAGCAGCATTGACAATCCCCTTAATGCGCTTCTGCACGCATTCTCAAAGAAACTTGTGTTACTCAATAGACCCAGGCCAATCCAACTTGCTTCTGCTGGTGTTGTTGCGAGGGGTTCGAGAACCAAGGGCTATCTGGATCTTGACAGCTTGCTTGTGATTTCGTGTCGTTGGTTCTGACTTGTCCACCTTTGGAAATGTGGTGCGATTGAAGGTGGAGCAGGGAAATGGCATGTTCGGGCGGAGCGTGGGCCTCGTGGATGGCTGTGCCTTGAAGGCACTGAATAGACATGAGGTGTGAGAGGGAGGTGGGATGAGCAGACTCACAGACTGGGCAGAGGATGATGAACTTTGTTAACGAAGAAAGCAACCAAGGTGCTTGCATCGTGCAACATCCGTGGTGTCGCTGAGGAATTGGAATATTTCTTTGCTACTTGTGATCATGGGTGATCATTCATTCCTGGGAGCTCCTCTTGTAATCCGCAGTTTGACTCCTCTCGTCAGCAACTATCAACAACCACCTAGGTGTTACATGCTAGATGCCTGTGGTGGTCTTGGAGGCCAAGGAACGTATACGTCCTAGTTGAAGAGGACACGGGGAAGGAAGGTGTTCATGACGTGTACCACAGTCGTGCTGAAATGTCCGTTCTTCGGTGAGAGCATGACTGATAGGAGGTACGGTGTCCTCGTGCTATTGGCTTCTTTGCATTGCAGACAACTACAATCACAATCTCTAGAGGGGCAGCGAGACAATCCTGCGCAATCTGTGCGATGCACTCAAGTAAAATTTCAAGCGTCCACTCAAAGTTATATGTACCCTCTTTACCTATCATCATTACTCAGTGGAACGAATGCGACTCATTTTTCTTAACCATTTCCACTCCCCTACTTCGTGGAACTATGTTTCGTGCCAGTTCACCAGTGAATGAGAACAGGAAATAATATTGTTTGACGTCTGCAAGAGCAGTTGCATAATTGACCAAAAACTACTTATAATCAACTATTGTAAGCGATAGGACAGGGGTTCATGGGCTTGCTGACACCGACTTTAGAGAAAAAACATTCCACCTCTGGTTTGACACTGGCCAATAACACATCCTTTCCATAATGAGGCTTCCAGCCAAGTGCACAAGACCGATCAGCATGCGGACGGCAAGTGTGCGTAAGCAAAGGCCAAGGCAGGGTACTGGTGTTTGTAGTTGCTACAGAAGAAAATAAAATAAAATAAAATAAAAAGAGGGGAAAAGCAAGGAATATTTCTTATCTTATCTTATCTTACAATCATGAGCTATAAACTACTGACCCATTGTTCCATCTCCACCTACAACTGGCCTTTTGGATACCTGCTATCCCCCCCATCACAATCTACTCTGTTTGGAATTTTCCAGTAAATTTTATCTGCCCTACTGCCCTCAAATTCTGGCCTAGAGCATCATTTCCTGCTCTGATTCTCTTTGGAGGTAATTAGGGAGCTGAAATTGCTAGGACATCTTGTGCAGGCCTTTTATTAGCTAATTAAACTGTATTTTGTAATGGGCTAGCAGTGATATTGTGTGGGCTGAATTAATGCCCCCCTGTGATGATTCAAGAAAATGACTATCCACATCCAAATGATAAAGCCCTGGATTACTTTAAAAAATTTGGGTGGGAGCAATTGATCCTTTGCTTGATGGGCTGTATGTGAAGCACCTCCATTTTGATGTTCACAGGCCATACTACAGAATATATTTCGTAGAAGATATCATTTTCATTTCCCTTTGCATGATTACAATTCTGTACAATTACAGCTTTTTTTTGCAGTCAGGATCTCCCTGATTAATGCTAGATACTCACACATAAGCTTTAAAAACAACTGTTTCTCTGCAACAGTAGGATGGACATAACAGCATATTTTGTACCTTGACACAATCCCAAGTATCAGTTCCATTTTTTTACCCAAGGCTCAGGCATCAATAGTTGTTGCATAGCTGACTTGAATCTAATTTCTTCAGGAATGGGAAGAACCCCAGAAACCTCTTTTGTTTAGGCATACATTGAATGATTTACCCATCCTCTGATTTCAAATGACTGTGGCACTTCATCTCACATTTTTTCAGCTAATATTCAAAGCTGATCAATTATCCAAATGTCAAATTGACAATCACATTCTTTCCCTGTTGAATTTCTTATCCCAACAGTTATATTGTGATGTAGTTGAAAATTGAACAGTAAAATACATAGAAATTTTGTAATAGCTTGTATTTGCACAATAATCTCAATGTATCTTCTATTTTACATGATATAAAAATGTGGTGGAAGGCCGCAGAGAGGGCAAAAGTATACGAGCAAGCCAGAGATTACACAGCCACTTGCTATCACATAAGCGTGCTATAACATAAGCATAGCTATCACATAAGCGTAGCTATCACATAAGCATAGCTATTATGTAATAGCAACTACAAACACCAGTAGTCTGCCAAGGCCAAAGATTCTGGATCCGACTGGCCTGCATTCGCCAGAATGTAGTAGAGTTCGAGAAAACGTACCCTGAAATAGAGCTTCAGTTCTGCTTTGGTAAATGAAGTCGCCTCGGGGCTTGAGCCAATGCCCAAGTCAATGTCGGAAAAACCCGGGAAGCCTTATAAGGCAGGTAAGGCACGTAATCACCTGAACGAATTATAATCCAATTATAATCAAGGAGAAATGTACTATAATACAAGACGTGACCATTTTAACGCAAAGGGACAATTGTAAGGTACCACTCAATTGTAAATGAAACGAAAATTTGTAGTGAGCTCGTAGCTCAATTGTAATGTGCGATTTTCTTACTAGTCAATCTGCGGATTTGTAGTCGTGTTGTTACTTTGTACTGTTGAACAATTGTTATTAGAGGGAATCGAACTCTGAACCTATTGATTACTTACTTTGTTATGACGTGCTTACTGACTTGGCTATAGTTACCACTTGGTTATGGGGACATATTTAGCAATAATATCTAGCTTAATTTGTCATGACGAGCGCTAGGCTCGCAATACAGTTGATACAGAGTGCTGTTCTCGCTCCTCGTAAACTTAGCTAGATAGGTGAAAGAACAGTAATAAGTAAAAAAGTCGGTCCATAATGCAATAAACAAGTGAATCCAGTCAATTGCAGTAGCTAGACATTGATACAACGCAGATGTAGTAGCTCAGCATGCTCAATCGCCGTTCAACGGCTGCTCGTCGACAATGCCCTCACAATGCTGGACCCAGCTACTTCGCATTTGCCTTCAATTTTGCACCACGTGTCTGCCGACTTGGACGAGTGAGCGCCGCAGGTATTCCGGCACCTGAATCAGCATCAACTTGAACAACCGAAACCTGTTTTGGGCGTCAACCACAGGGAGCTTTAGCGGGTGGCGCAGGCACATCAGCAACAGCCTCGGAGGTTGAGGGAACTGGCGTGGGGACTCGACGACATCCACGGGGTGGATTGATTGATTGGGAGATGGGTGCGACAGGAGCAGGGGTGTGCGCTTCCATGTTTGGATGCAAATCCGGCGCCTGTTCCACATCTGAGTGGGCGTTCACACACTCTACATCGGTTGGAAGGGTCTGGGGGAGTGGGAGTGAGCTAGAATTTTTCGAAGTGGGAGCTGACGAAGTGTCGGCTCCCATACGCAGTCCATGGAACATGGAATCGAGACCTGGGTTTTCATCAGCGTCAACCCGGACATGTGGTGCTTCTTCTTCTTCGTCCTGTGAGTCGGGAGCGAGGAGGAATTGTGGAAAAACTTGCATGTTCCAGTATTTCAGGAGCTTTTGAACAGTTGGCGCATCCTGATTTTCGATTAAAAGCTTTTTGTAAGCTTCTGCCTCGCTCGCGTAGTTGATTCCTGTAAGTTTTCCGACACCATGCTTGTTCAGCTCAGGATCACCTCTGAGAAGAAAACGAATCTAGTAATAATTTTGTTAGCCAGAGGACTTATATGCCTAATGAAGAGCTGTGAAGCGTACGACAACTGCGGTGTTGCTAATAAATCCAAAGGTAACACCATCTACACGGCCGTGAAAGGGACTGTTTTTGTTGAATGCAGCTCTCTCCGATGTGTACGATCGTGGGCCATAGGCGATGAGATGTGCCATCTAGTATTGTAAGTAGTACGACGAGTGTTTAGAAGTCTATTAATGAAAATACTTGAGAAATACTTATGGAGATCAAGTAATCACTTCTGAACATGCCCTCTTCGTCATTAATATTGCCATTAGTATAGAGAACTGGTGCATTTGAGGGGTAGCGTGCTGTAGGTGTTTTCCTGCGGGGGTTGAAGCCAAGAAGTGTTGCAAGTTCAGGATTAGCTTCCATGCGCTTCTTGTCACACTTGGGATTGTAGTTGAAGAGGCTTTGGTCAAGGCCAAAAATTGCCCCTGTGCTCCCATGCGTGCACAGAAGTGTGTTCGAGCGGCCTGATGAGATGCTCGCTCGGAACTAATTGAGCACATTGTGAGTTTTTATGATCTATGCGAGAGGGAGAGATCACATACAATACTTCAGAAATTCTCATGCTTCACCATGTAGTCATGGTATTGAGGAGGAATGCACATGTAGAGCTCTGCAGTTTGGCCGGCTAATCTTGTTGTTGAATCGAGGTACCAGTCCTCGCTATCCCATGTGAAGTCAGGGCGAGAAATATCGAATGGGGAAGGTGTGCTCTGCTGAATCCAGAACGAGTAAAAATGAGCAAAAACTTTCCCTAGTTTACCGATTTCTTCGTCGTGTGCAGCAAGTTCTTGTGACAGAGCTTTGGAGCCATTGTTTTGACAACGGGAAGCGGCAAGTTCTTGTTTTAGCTGTTGGTTCTCAGCCTTCACAGCATTGAGCTGGCTATGCGCATCGTGCAGTGCCTGGCCGAAGAATGAAAAGTTAATAAAATCGGAGATCAAGGTGATGGCCATAAGTCAGTCAGTCATACTTACCTTAAGAAGCGCGGCAGTGTCCAATCCAGTGTGAAGCTCTGACCCGACGCTGCCGTGACTGGCTGTCGAGTTGTCAGATCTGGATGTGGAGATGGAGTCAAGGCCAATCATTGATGGTGTGAGTGACGTCATCAGAATAAACTAAGGGGAGCTTTCACGAATCACAAGTGAATCAAGAGTGAAAAGAGAGTGGGGATGTGTTTGCTGCGAGAAACTGCCTTGTTTAAATGAGAAGTGCGTATGGTACTGTTTCCTGAACGCATGCAACGGTGAATCGGATTTCGCTCCGGAATTTTGACAACATGCAGTATGCAAGGTCTACAATTTAGGTGTAGATAATTTGATCTGTTGTTGCATTATTGCGTGTCAGCTCGAGTAATGGAAAAATGAAAGAACAAGGTTGGGCCGGTGACTAAAATTAAATTTCGGTAACTTAACTGATGATAATACATTTTGAAAAGCATGGGCCGGAGAAACTTTGCCTTGAGGCCAATTAATTACCTCATCGACATGCATCAGATTAAATAACTCTAAACTTTTGAATGGGTGCCGATCTCAGTAGCACTTGTCTTGAGTAAACTTTGATGTGAGAATGAGTGAAGCAAGAAAGGCATGATGAGGGCAGAGAAGGGGGGGACGGAAGTGGCGGCAGAGGCATAACCAGTGCAGTTGGCAACTTTGGCTTTTGGATTCCTTGTCCATCATTGGACTTTACAGATGTCAGACTGGATTGCAGTATTGTTTCTGGGCAGCTAAAAAAATCTGTTATGCAAACGGTATCCATGGTGTCGTTTGACATGATGCTTGCAATTAGTGTTTGAAAGTCCGGTTAGGTTAGGTTATTGGGTGCCCAGGGGCTCTAACCGAGACCGAGACCGGTTAGGGTTCGTTCCCAGACCCAAAATAACCTAACTGGACCGAAGATAACCGATGAAAACCGGTTAGTTGCAGTTACTAACCGGTTAGGACCGAAAAAATAGAAATTCGATTAAAACGGCGTATATTTCTCATATTCCTTGCAGTAAACATTATTGCCATGCGTCGTAGCTTTAAAACAAGCCCAAGAACGCTAAATTCGGTGAAGAATTGACAATTTTATAATAATATTCTTGAAAGCCTACTATTTTAGCCAATAATTTAGAGATTTGACCATAACTCTGTCAGATTTTTAGTGTTTCTCATGCTTTTAGATGCGTTTTGAAGGGGTATAATAGGGTCGGTTGTAACCGGTCATAACCGGTTTTTTAACGGTTAGTTAACCGCAAAATAACCGGTTATTTCATTTCCAGAATTGACTAACCACTAACCGCAGTCCGGTTTTTTTGCCGTTAGGTCCGGTCTGGTCTCGGTTATTTTCCAGTTAATTAACCTAACTTCCAAGCACTACTTGCAATGGTGGCTTTGTACCCAATTTCGGCTTTGGTAGCAGGGACAATTTGGCTGGTGGGCATCAATTGTGCCAAAGGAATGGACAAGCAGCAATGTTCTTGATCTATGTAACCATTTCTTTGTTAATACTTTTACAGATCATCATTTGTATCAGATACTACACTAATCTATACCTCCTTTTTATATAATTCTTATTTCTATATTCTATTTATATCAGAGTGCCTCAGGTTTTCATTTCCATCTGAAGTCAACAGTGAGTGCCACCGGTGTGGGGAACATGGAATAATGGAACATTGACAGAAAAGCATCCCACTCTTTAAAATTTCTCTCACAATACTCTAATTAACAATTTCTATGGTAGCCCTTGGCCTTTCAGAATTGCTTCAGACAATTTTTGGAAGGATAAGAATAAATGCAAGAGCTTAATTTCTGTTTGAAGCATCATCACCCTTATGAACACTAAACCTATTGAAGTTACTTCAGATTCAGTATTGAAGCCTGCCCTTAAATATCTGCCACAGAACATCAAAATAGCATTATATACAACATTGTGCTATGCATTTTGCTTAGAACACAGAGCCTCTATCCCATACGCCGTATTTGTGCCAACCATTCATTTGTTTGGCTGTGTTACCTCCCAAGCCAGCCTGCACTGGTTTTGTTAGAGTTATTAGAAGATATGCCTGTTCTTATTTCACAATGAATTTAAAATATATAGGAAGCCTTTCTTTATTTCTACATATTTAAATTGTTTTCAGAGCAACAGACTATTATTGTAGTGTTCATTTGTGTGAATATGGTTCCCCAATGTATTGTCTGCTTAGTCATTCCCACATGGCATCTTTGAACAATGTAGCACTTCATCTGAGTGATCAGCAATTGCATGAGACCCAGGGGGACTTGATGTGTGTGATCCTTGCTGAACGAAGGGTTCTGGTTAGGGTCCACCCTGAAGTTTTTCTTGACAAAGCACAGCTGCATCGCCTGGACATCCCTACCTAACCTTCAACACAATCCAAAGGCTACCTTCATCAATGTTCACTTGAACTGGAAGCTGTTGAGACTAAGTATATTAAGCTTTTAAAGTTTTCTTTATGTGTGGCACTCATCTTCCTCAGCCTCACATACAAAGACACACCAAGACACTGAAAACCAACCTTGAGCAACAGAACAATTCATTGCAATGTTCAGTGACCTAAATCTACTCTGCGTGCAAGGGGTAATGACTTCATCCTCAATCACATATCCGAATCCATGTCCATCACCAGATACTCATCTGAATATTGTGATCCATAATCTGTTGCAAGAAGACCTCCACGAATGATTGATTCAACAGAGATAAAAACTGAGAGTGAGTGATGTCGGGCCTTGACTCGATTGAAGCGAAGGTCATTATCCCGTCCACGATTCTCCAAATCAGGTGGAAGATCCATGGGTAGGATAAGTGCCATGTGATACTCCTTGTCAAGAACTTGAAGTCCAAAAATGTAGAGTAAGCATGCAAAGATATACTTCTCCTCATCAATCTTGACAATGATGCAATCATATCGTGGCTTGCCATGGAATTTTGGGTTGGCACGAAGAAGGTCGGTGGCTACACACCAGTCATCTTTTGATTCATAGTTAACTCTTAGCAATTGAAAGGGATTGATCTATTGAATTCAGATACCATCATAAGTGGACAAGAGTAGTCTTCAAAGGTCAAAATTTACCTGATCACTTGGTCCAAACCTTACCGATCTTCCAAGATATCTTGTAAAAAAGCGTCCAATCTTCTTGTGAAAATCTTTGAATGCAGAGTCTGCACTGTGTTCATCCTCAAGGTCTGAAAATGCAACTGGTGCACATTGAGAACCCAAGGATACATGGGCCATTCCAATGATGTTTCGTGTCACCTGGATTTGGCTATCTTCAGCAGATGCTTCTGCCTGGGATAAATCAAGGTAGTCAATGTCATCGCGGATGACAGTTGCAACTAAATCGGCATGATCAAATTTGAGTATCTTATTTATGTCAATTTAAAACAGGACTTTGAATAGTTAGAGAATTTAGCAAATACCTGTGGTGCAACATTCTTGAAATTTGTTCGGAACTTGTAGCTGTTTTTGAATGCACCATGACATTTTTCATTGGGCTTTGTATTATAGTTTCGTGTCACCCCTTTTCGCTGGATATCGTCAAACATATGCTTATGTGTATGTGCTTTTGGAAATGACCACGATTTAGCTGGGTTAAATGGCATATATTCCTATATATATAAAGGTAAATTGTTAAAGGCAATGTAAACCAATTATTGTACATACATGAAGTGCTTTCTCAAAAACCAACAGTTCCTCTCGACCTTTTTGAATAGTTGTCTCTGTATGAACCTTGAGAGATGCATACATATCAAGTTCAACATAGCTTTGCAGAAGCTTGAGTAGCTGATATCCTCGAGGAGATGCTTCCTTTGTAAAAATATTGTGGAGTGCAAAGATAAGAACCTAACCCAGGTCATGAAACTTGAATTTTGAGAGGAAATTCAAAAAGCTGACTTACTTTCAACATGTCCTCATACTTGCTTCCATCAGCAAATTCACCTGTCTTTATAATGGAGGTAAAGTGGTTTAAACCACTCCAAGTAGGGAGAGCATCAACCCTGTAAATAAAGATAAATATATTCTATCTCAACAAAGAGATCAAATCCATACTGGGTATCAATCAACTTCGAGACACCCTTTCCAAGTTCCTCAGCTACACTTTTAACCTCTTCCCAGATATGATCTGAGAATAAACCTCCATGATATGCATGAAGGCGATCCCAAGAAATTGCTCGGTGAATATCAGTGCGAGGAAATTTCCAAAAAACATTCTTTGGAAGTAAGTCATCAGTGAAATATATGAATCAACCCATTTGAATGTTACCTCAACATCCCGAAGACCAACATTCTTCAAGGTTTCTTCTGTCTCAGAGGCATTAAGTCCTATTGTGGACTTGTAAATCTTTTCCATGTCAGAGGAAAAACGAAGGGGAAAGTCTGATGAAAGGTTGGCAAGCTGATCCCCAGGAATGAGGCAGACTGGGCAGGGAAATTTGCTGTTGACCCCACGAATGAGGGCAATAATACATCTGCACAGAAAATTGTGAAGTTCAATGTAAATTGCAGATGTCAATACTTACTGCTCCTCATAGTCTGCAGATGCAATAAGCACAATGGGAAACATCCACCGTTCAATATCAGCAGTTGTTAGGTGGTAGCCAGTTTCTGCATATTGCTCAACAGACTTCAAGATTTCATAGAATGCCTTATGCCAGACAACTCTTTTGAAATTCACATATTTCTTTTTTCCAGTTTCACCTGAGTCTTCTTGCAACTGCATGGCTCTATGGGTAAGCTGCATGCAATTATAATTGATGAGAAATCTTCTTACAACTGGAAACCATCCAACACAAACTCTAAGGGTTTATCTTCATCATTATACTCTACTGTGATTGTTGTTTTCTCAAACTAATATAGTCAGATCACTTTTCCACCTGCAGGTGAACAAAATTCTGCTTACCTTAGTTGCCCGATTTGCAGCATTCTCCCAAATTTTTGACAAGTCAGGTTCATTTTTCAAGGTAAAAGACTTGGGGTCTAGAATACATCGATGGATGAGGGAGATGAGTTCATTGGTTTGATTCTTATTCATGTGGGTATCAAGAATCAATTCTGCCAGTTCAAAATCGAGACGAGAACGGAAAGGTTTCCATGGCTCGGGATCAACTGGAATGTCAACACTATCGAGATCCTGGAAATTGCTTTTGTACTCATCAAAGCTAAAGAATTGAGGTTGGCGTCCGCTTCTTGGATGGTACTCCACTTTGATGTCATTGAGCTGTGGTGCCTGCTCAAATGGACTAGAGGACCCTTCGTCAGTATGGACTTCACCATGGGGCTCAGTGTTGTTGTTATCGGTGTTGTTGATCGTTTCATTTTCATTGAATATTGCTATGTTTGCATCATAGGCTGGGTAACATAAGCAGATGTGTGCTATCAAGTAATACTTACTATTTTCCACATTTCCTGCTTGCAATTGAGTATGTGTATACCCTAGATTGAACTGATCAGCTTGGAAAATCAAGAAAAAAGTGGAAGGGAGGAAATGAATGCTACCAAGAGGAGTGTAGGCAGAGCTTGGCCCAATCACAGGGATAAAAGGGTCTGGACCAAGGCTATTAGCCAGTAATATGCCATCAAGCACTGTACAGCTTACCCAATAACCCCTCTTGTTGTACCTGTTCCTCAAATGCCCTGGATCTTGCATCTGAAGCAACTGCCTCAGGACGAGATTTGCATGATTTTTGGTGCTGTGTTATGCCCTTTGACTTGAAAGGAAGCCCGCAAAAAGTGCATAGAGGGTCTAAAACAGAAGGCTTTAGTGTTCCTTTTGGACCTTTCCCTTTGGGAGGCATTGGGAATGAGGAGGGACGACAGACGCGTGTTCAGCGCGGCGCGCGCACTTTGATTACAGGACAAACATTGATCTTATAATGCAACGTGACCATTATAACGTGACTACAATAGCTCCCAATAGCCTTGTAATTTATTATTATTGTAAGGCATCACGGATTTTTCTGACAAACAAGGGCTTCCGAGATGGCTTTGGCAATTTCGTAGCCACCACCAAAGGGAGCTTTACGCGACTGCTGCGCACATGGATAATAACTTGAATGAGTGAACTTGGACAACGATCCGGTGGCTCCTAAAGGGGTTGAAGTTACTCTATCTAAAAAATAATGTTATTTGTGTTGTCAAAGAATTTGAGAAACTCGCTGTCCCGATCTTGTTCAGACGATTGGTAACATCTTTTTCGTTTATGTAGGAACCTCAACAAGGAGTGGAGTGTGAGAATGATGGGAGGGGATTACTCACTCGACGGGTTTACACGAGGAACAAAGGCAGTGGCTACTGGAGGACGGAGGTCGAAAGTTGGAATCTCTGAGAACTGAGGGTGCCTGAGGCCATTCATGGATCGAGAGAACATCATGTCGCCGCCAGTGATGGGATGGTCAACCAGTGGAAACCTCGAACAGATCTTTGATGTGGAGCCTCGACCTCAGAAACCCGCAATAAGACCCAGTCAAATTGCTAAAGAGGCTGAACCGTGGACTGAGGTGGAAATATCTTGCATGCATCTGCGAGGAAGACCTAAATGCGATGAGGCGAGTCCTCTATAGAAAAAATATCAGCAAAGGAGCGAAGCTTAACACAGACGTGGAGCGTACCAACCAAGCCCCTGTGCCTTTCCAGAAACTTCCGTCGATCTCGCAGCTGCCATCGTTGATGCAGTTCAGAATTGGCCTTGAGAAGACGAACTTCATGACTTCTGCGGGCGTCGAGTGCTACACGAGCAGAGCTAATACTAGGATGCCGTCACTACCTAAACGGAGAAGGGGAATAAGGACTTGGAGAAGTGGCAAAGAACTCACCTGAACTCACTGAAATTTGTGCAGGGACGGCGTGTGAGTGCCTCGAATGCTTCGTCGCATAGTAAAGCCTACAGTAGAGTTGTGAAGTCCAACCGCTGCCACTAGGGCAGAATGAGGCCTTGTTTGGGCAAAGCGTGTTTGTGACAGGTTTGCGGTCAACCGTGACACGACCAACTCATGTTCTCCAAATTCTTGACCCTTTCTTCAAAAATGTTAACAGGCTTGTGCAAATTCGAAGACCCCCACAAGTGAGCTTTTTCTTTGACCCTCCTGTTACCCTCATCGATTTCAAGCCGAGTCCCCACACCACTGTCATTCCGATCAAGCCGAGTCCCCACACCACTGTCATTCCGATCAAGGTAGTCTCGCTCTCCGACACCCCAAATCAATACAATTTCACGGACTGTTCCCTCATCGTCTCGCTACCATCTTTCCCCCGTGTTCTTGGTCCCAACTTCCCCATAACTTTTTGAACCATGTCTCGCACTTGTCCCTGCAAACCTCTCACTGACTTCACTGGAAAGCGCGAGTCATGAGGTCTGGATGCCATCTCAAGGACCTTAATATCACCGCCAAGTACTCATTAAGCAGATGTGCTATGTATCAGCTGGTGCCGTCTGGTTTTGTTTCTACCACACAAGCCACTCCGGTGTCCAAGTTTGTTGGACGTGCGTCTAGCAAAGATTTCTCATCTGCCAATGATGGTGGGACAAGTGGCATGTCAGCGCTCGACCTCCTTGAACTCCCCACAGTTCTTCGAGCTGGAATGAGCGATCCCCTCCGGAGTTGCTGATTTGTCTTCTTAAACGAGCTTGAAATGAAATGGGGGAAGGGGGAATTTCTCACACCCAAGTACACTGTGCTCTGTACCACCGAAAGTTAAAAACGCAAACAATGGCTTTCGTTATCTTCAAAACAACGCGGTGTCAGTAAGGCCTGGCTGCCCTGATGTCCACCATTGTCCTAGACACGCCGATTCGCTAACCGTCTGTCAGGGGTAAGTTTGACCTGTCTATCCAGTTCAGAGCGCGTCCATCATAATCTCGAAAGCTGAACGTAAACGATGGCTTTTGTTATCTTCAAAACAATGCGGCGTCAGCTGGCTGCCCTGATGCCCACCGTTGTTTCAGACACCCTGATTCGCTAATCATCTGTCAGGGGTAAGAGTTTGACCTGTTTATCCAGTTAAGAGTGCTAACCGGCTGTGTTTTATCAAGACTTGCATCTCGTTGGTTGGCGCCAGGTGCATGTTCACTATTGACAGTTCCTGATAGGCCTATGTAAGTATCATCATGACGAGTATTGACGGGATTCCTGATTGCCTTCAACGAATAGCCTTGAGGACTACGAAACCACTCATGATGGTAATGCAAAGATCACAGGACAGCAGTTCGCCTTTTGAAGCTAACGAGAGAATCAACAGACTCTAGATGCATGCTAACCCATCTAACTCTTAGTAAGTACATCCCAGTTTATGGGAAGGATAACAGAATACACACGCCTTGTACTACTCAAGGCCCACTGGCAGTGGGAATTCCGCCAACTTCATGTCAAAAAATAGCGCTCATCGTCAGATGCTTTAAACACCTGTGGGATACAGTGGATGAAACGATTCAGGCCTTGTTTTCTCCATGTTCGTATTACTGCTTATTCTCTGTATTTCTCTCCAGGTGATTCGTGCTTCACCTTTACCCCTTCCCATTGACATCAGCAATGCCCTGGCTGGCCTAGTACAACTACCAACCTGCACATGTATCGATCAGCGCCGATCACTTTCAGATATCCTTTGGAGCTGCATTGCTACTATCTTCGCTTGCACTTGGCTGTCAGTACATCCGAACATACCAGGTCCTGATGAAAAGCGTTGGAAGATTCTTCTTAGGAGGCTTGAATTAATGTTCTGGTCTCTTATCTGCCCTGAGATGATCATCTGTTGGGCTTGCAGGCAATAGTTTGCCGCGCGGAGCTTGCGAGATAAATATGGTGGTGCGTTATTCCAGAGTTAATGAACCGTTGAGGACTGACTGCGGTTAGGGCTGGGATGGACAAAAACACATGGTTACTTTCTACAGATGGGGGGATTTATGCTCATAAATGGAGATGAAAGGAAGGGCGTTCTGACGCCTGACGTGTTCCATAACCTGCTTCAGGAGGGCAAGATTACCTTCCCCTCGATTACAGAGGCAGAAATTGAAGACAGGAGCAAGGCTGACAGTCTGTCCAAAGCAATAGCGGTTTTGCAGACGACATGGTTCATCGCCCAGTGCATTAGTCAAGCAGCGCAGGGACTAGTCACTACTGAAATCGAACTAACCACGCTGGCGTTCACTGCCCTCAATGGAATATCATATTTCCTGTGGTGGAACAAACCTCTCAATGTCGCGTGTTGCGTGCCAGTTTTTTTGCTCGACAAACCTTGCAAGCCTGTAATGATTCCCTCCTTCAATACGCCTAAGAGTAAGTTGTTCTATTTTATGGACTTAAGAAATGAAATGATAAAATATAGGGTGGACTTGGCGACTCGAGGAATCTAGAGGTTGGTTTTGCTCTGTCAGCAGCTTTAACATGTAATTCCAAGTGCACTGTTAGGAGTTCCTCTACTTGTGGCAGGTCATGAAACCGCCAAGGTTCCTCACTCTAATCCTAAAAGTAAGTTCATACATATCTAGCGGACTTTTGGTAATGAATCAATGAAATGCACCAGAATGGCCTCAAATCTTTTCCAGCATATTTTCGTGGGTTCATATACTCTGGTTTTTGAACTTCCTTGGCCGTTTAACAGGTTACACAGCTAGTGAGTCCCAGCCTTTTACAATGTCTAATGTGACATATGATGGAGCATATCTTAACAGTGGGCGCTATCAAATTTGCTACCACCTGTGCATTACTAGTGAAGAACGCTTTGGTGGAGCTCCCTTTACTTTCTTTCAGAGTGATCGAGGTGATTTGTCACAAATTCAACAACTTTCGAAAATGCGATATGGTTGATGAGGATGCTATCTGGGTTCCAACGTTTTACGCACCTCCCAACGGAGTCCATGGATTCTTTTGGGTCCACATAATGGCCATTATCGTTGCTACACTCTTCGGAGGCATCCATTGCGTTGGCTGGAATTTCCCCTTCCCCTCTCACACAGAGCTGATGACCTGGTGTATGTGCTCCTTAGCCATTGTCATTGTTCCATGCCTTTTTGTGCCTACAATCGTGGAGAGGTTTATGGGAATGGATACAATCACCACCAGAGTTAACATCTTCTTGGTAGCATTTGGCATTGTGATTTATGTTTTCGCACAGCTCACCCTCTTTGTCGAAGCTTTAACCTCCCTGAGACATCTTCCCCCTGGAGCATACGCTGTAGTCGAGTGGACTGCCCTCTTACTCCATATGTGACCAAATTACGACCTGGACACCACATTATCCAATTTTTACGTGTGGGGAGAGTTTCTGTATGATGCTCCTATTTATTGTTCATTGACTTATTACTGCTTGGACGTATGTCTCCTACAACGCTTCCTTTGGCATTTTTTGTTTGGCAGATACTTGAAAATAAGTAAATTCGCGGCGTTTTCAGTCCCCTAAGATTCGGAAAATATATAAGTACTCAATGATGATGCAGATTAGCTAAATAATTACTATCGGATGTGGGCGTCGCTTTTTTAGAACGACGATACCATTCTTGCGGGAGGTGGCAAATTAAAGGCTGTGCAACTTGTTGTGGTTGTATCGTTGAGTGCCCAACGCCAAACAACTGTCCTCACGTTACTAACCATCCTTTCCGGGTTGATGCCGTCGACTTCACGACTGTAGGATCCGAGCCCCGTCACTGCAGAGCCATGAACAACGTCAAAATTTGGGTGTCAAGACGCAAGAGGCGTTGCCTTCACGCCCTAACCTCAACACTACCTTTATTGCAGCCCCTTATCTTTGTGGACTGAGTGGGCGATCAGGAAGAGATCCAAGATGAAAACTTTGGATTCGTTAGGGAAGGGACGGCGGGATTGTTTGCCGACGAATATGATGGAGGCCTGGACAGACGTACTATGTCTCTATCATCACCACTACGAGGGGGCGAATGAGAAAGGGCCGGGGTTCGATATTGACCACAATGATTTCGTCACCGTCCTAGGTGTTTTATGGGTCAAGGACCCGGAACCCGGAAGGCTGTCTTCGAACATCGAAGAGCCTCTTCCTCCGAAACAGCGGAAAGCTGCAGGTCATCTAACGACCAACTTAGGGGCGGCAAATCTATCACTGCGCAAATGCGCTGCTTTGGAGTTTGCCACGTCATCCTCAACGTACGCCGACCTCACCACGACCACAACCTGCACGGTCGGGGTATCCAAGTTCCCTTGTGGCGATAAGTGGCAGCCGGATCCGATTCCACCACTCTTTTAACGCACTCTCCTCCTTGGGATTGTTACGGTCGCCTATCTCAATCTCAACTTTTTTTGGCCAACATGCTCAAGGTTTTGTCTCCCCCCTCATCGTCTTCTCGTCTTCTCTTCGATTTTCACATTTATGAAAATTGACAGCTGGCACGCCCCCAAACCCCTAGACAATAAACTCAACATAGCTCTTCCCAACATACTTATCGGCGCTTCTTTCTCCCCCCATCTCCTTCCCGTCTTCTCTTTGCTTTTCACAAATATGAAGAACGACAGCTGGCACCCCATTCAGTCTCAGGCATCAGAAATGACACGGCAATCCTCAATCAAGACTTAACAACCTGTCGACCACCGCTCCAGCCTTACGGATGAAACGTTCACCGGCTTGTTGAATCAGAGACCAGACTCAAGCAACCTTCGCGTTCAAGTTGATGCGAACGCGGGGAAAGGGGTGCTCAATGCACGATGTGCATGAGATCCACGGTGGCGCTGAAGAGCCGCAGTGTTCTTTGCAATTACGCCCAACTTGAGGTATGTAGGTTCTCTGATCCTCTTCTCTACGTCATCAAAAGTTCAGACTTCTATCGCAGGCCGCGTCCGCGTCGGTTTCATCACGACCATCCCTCTCTCCGGGCGAGATGCAACACTTGAATCTAGGGAACGTTTTAGAAGCCGGTTTCCCTAGTGACAGCTTGGTCAAGAGCAATGATTTAGGGGGAACTGGCTCTATTACAAATTCGGACGAACTTGAGACCATACAGCTGATCTTCCTTTGATGGGATTCGTGGAAGACTCCTCACATACCGCGGTCCGTTGGGCTACCACTGCCACTCCTAGGTTCGCCTACCAGTCTGGGTGGCCTTATCCATACCCAAGCTGTATTACCTTCCCCGGGCTTTTTCTTCCTTCTCCCTCTGTTTCTACAGAGTTCATCCACGAAGAACATTCGCACCCCCTCCACAACAAAGTTGACATCGTGACCCTTGCTAAGCAACCTGTTGACGACTTCTTACAATAGAGTCAGGGGTTGAATGCTTGCGGACTTCTTGGATTTGAAGAAACTTTCACGTTCGAGTGCTACTACCGCGCAAGATCGACTTTGATCCTGAGGAACTGGGGTGCTCGTTGCTCCTCGTGATCCTCACTGCTTGAAGGTACACTTTTTGCTCATCCTCCTCCGCATTATCGAAAGTTCATACGCTCCCTCGGTTTCGACGTGCCAAGGTAGGAACACATAATGCCATTCATTGACTCGGTCCTCCTGCGTGAATCATAGACCACAACTCGGCGGGGTAGCTATTGAAGGGGCTCAAGGAAAGCTCGGTTGAAGCAAACTTGCTGGAGAAGTTGAGCAAGGCGGAGGTTGAACAACCTTTTTCGAAGGGTTGGGATTGGACTAGGAGACGTTGGGTACCATCAAGCCTACATGGAACCCAAAGTTCCGTGACCAGCGCCGACGCAACGTCGGGAAAGACAGCAGTGATTGCACTGATTGTGGTAGGGTGCCCCTTCCGACAACAACCAGTCAACGAAAGCCAATTCAATACCACCCCTTCCACCAACACGTTCTCCGCCCTAACCTTCCCATTCCTAATCGTTCATCAGCGCCTCCAATGAGAGCCTACAACTCGACGCCCAGCTACAGCCGAACTAGTGTTGACGATAGTCCTCCCCGCTTAACTGCACCCTATTCTCGTCAGTTTTAACCTCCGTATGGGATGGATGATAGAACTTAGCATAATCGGTGGGTGATTACGTTTACTGTGAAGCAGGACTTAAAGTCAGGCGATGAATAGATGGAGGTCGAATACAACTGCGGTGTTCATGCGCATGAAGATTGCATGGAGAATAATTCTATGGACACTGTCTCTGCAGACAACGACAACGGAATTGTTACACCGTTACACGATGTGTCTGAATCCCAAAATGCTCAACGTTCAACGTTCAACCCTTGCCCATACGTATGCGAGCTGCGCCCAGCTTTGAACGTCCCTACTATGGCGAAGCTTCTCGGCTGGTGAACGTAAGTGTGACGGTCAGGTCACCGTCACCATCAATTTTCCCACCCTCGGTTACGCTGTCAGAAATCATTCTGACCATGACCACGGTGAGCCTACATTGTTCAAGTCCATTCCAAGGCAATCAATCACTGACTCTCGTCGCCTTCTCTAACCAGCTTCTCCGTGTTACCACCATCCTTTCCGTGTTGATGCCGTCGTCTCAGGAGCTCTGAATAGAAAGGTACGTCGGCTTAATGACTGCAGCATTGGAGCTCATCAGCCATTCTCACTCTAATTTTGCAGACCCAGGGCCCCAGGACGCAAAAGGCGCTGCCTCGACGTTTTAACTCCAGCGACAAGTTTCAACCACATTCATGGTAGTCCTTTGTTTTTGTGGACAGGCCGAGCGATTGGGTGAAGATCCAAGATGAAGACTTCAATCTTGTTGAGAAAAGGGAACGTCGCCGATGAGCGGTATTGAAGGTGGGGACAGACGTACGACGTTTTCGTCATCGTCCCTTTATAGTGGCGAAGGAGAGTGGGCCAGGATTCAAGACTTGAGACCTCTATCTACCATGGCATTTCGCTTTCCCCAGCCCGAACTTGACCACGAGCCAAGTACATGAATCACCTCCTCTTCCCGCCTCCTTCCCTCCTGCCCTCTTCCTGTGGACCCGTGTGCCTCTTGTTTTAGGAGTCAAGTAGTTGTAACCCCGAAGGCCGTCTTCTCGAAGAGCGAACAGCTTCTTATTTGAAACAGTGGCGAAGCTACAGGTCATTAACGACCAACCTGAGGCAGAAAATCCGTTATCACGCCAATGCGATGCCGTGGAACTTGCCACGTCATGTTCCACATACGTCGACCTCACTACGACCACTACGACATTAGAACCTACATGGTCGGGGTATTCGAGTTGCCTGTCCTACTTGAGCATGCATATGATGTGCAGATACAGGCGATAGGTGGCAGTCGGATCCGAGCCCACCGCTCCTTTGACGCGCTCTCCTTGCGATCGTTACAGTCGCCTCTCTCAATCCCAACGTTTCTTGGCCGTTCTTCCCAACATACTGGTCCTTCTGTCTCCGCTCTCATCGTTATTCCGTCTTCTCCTCGCTTTTTCACATCTACGGGGATTGACAGTTGTCACTCGAATCCCCAGATGATAGACATAAACTCAACATGGCTCTTCCCAACATACTTACCGGCGCTTCTTTCTCCTCTCCCATCTTCTTCCCGTCCTCTCCTCGCTTTTCACAACTCTGAAGAACGACAGCTGGCATCCCCTCGAGTCATTAGGCGGTAGAATTGACTTGGCAATCCTCAATCAAAACTAAACAACCTGTCGACCACCATTTGGGTGTTACGAGCTGGACCTGTTGGATTGGAGACTGGATCCAAGCAACGTTCGCGTTCAAGTCGATGCGAACGCGGGGAAAGAGGTGCTATATGCATGTGATCTACGGTGGTGCTGAAGGGTCACAGTGTTCTCCGCAATTACGGTTAACTTGAGGTATGTAGGTTCTCTGATGCTTTTCTTTACATCATCCAAATTCAGATGTCTTCATAGGCTGCAGCGGTTTCGTCACGGCCACCACCTGCTGACTATCCCTCTCTCCGGGCGAGATGTAACGCTTTTATCTCGATTTGAGGGAACATTCCAGAAGCTGTTTTCCCAGAGCCAGTCTGGTCGAGAACAACGATTTAGGGAGAACTGGGACATTGTAGATTCGGATGGAGATGCACCAGGAAGGGCTTACTCAGTCGCATAACGACGTTGAGATCAAGCAGCAGATCTTCTTTTGATGTGATACCTGGAAGACTCCGCGCACATACCGCGGTCCATTGAGTTCACCGCTGCTAGGACTTACAGTATCTGCAGCTAACAGGGGTATGGGCCATTTGGTACGTTCTCCCTCTTACATGTCACTTCCCCTGTATACATCTAAACTCCCAAACCTAGCAACAATGTCGTCTCCACAAGCCACCCAACCCCTCACATCTCGCATTCGGGTTTACTCACAAAGTTCGTCTACCAGTCTGGGTGTGCCTTACCCGAGTTGTAGTGCCTTTCCCCAACCTTCTCCGGGCCTCTTCTTCCTTCTCCTCCCTGTTTCATTTACGAAGAACACTCGCACGCCCTCCACAGCAAAGTTGACATCATGACCCTTGCTAAGCAACCTGTTGGCGACTTCTTACAACAGGGTCAGGGGATAAACGCTTGCAGACTTCTTGGGTTTGAAGAAACATTCACATTCAAGTGCTACTACCGCGCAAGATCGACTTTGGTCCTTAGTATCGGGTGCTCGTTGCTCTTCGTGGTCATCACTGCTTTAAGGTACACTTTTGCTCACCCTCTGCACGTCATCGAAAGTTAACATCTTCTGCACAGGCTCCTTCGCTTTCGACGTGCCAAGGCGGGAGCGCACAATGCCGTTCATTGACTCTGTCCTCCTGCGTGGATCATAGACCACAACTGGGTGATCGAAGGGGCTCAAGGCAAGCTCAGTTGAAGCAAGTTGCTAGAGAAGTTGAGCAAGGCGGAGGTTGTGGGGATCGAGTTATACCCTTGCCCAGCAAGCTGGCGAACAACGGCCTTTTACCACTTTTTCGACGATTAGGCCAGGAGGCGTAATGCCTCTAAATCAACCACGACCGTCAACCCTTGTTCGCCTGTAGCTGAGCGTCGAGTTGTAGGCTCTCATTGAAGACGGACTTTGGAAGTGCCGCTGGCGAGGGTTTGGGATGGGGAGATTAGGGCGGGGGACGTGTTGGTGGAAAGGGTGGGATTGTATTGGCTTCCGTTGACTGGTTGTCGGATGGCGCGCCCTACCACAATCAGTGCGATCACTGCTGTCTTCCCCGACTTTTGCGTCGGCTCTGCACGGAACGTTAGGTCCCATACAGGCTTGATGGTGCCCAACGTCTTGCAGTGTAATCCCAACCCCGATTACGTCCTATCCTCGTCAGTCTCGAATTTTGTATTGGAATAGAAGTCAGCGCAATCGGTGGATGATTACGTCCACTCAGCTAGAAGCGAAGCAAGACTTAAAGTCGGACAATGAACAGATGGAGGCCAAATACAACTGTCATGCTCAAGCTCGTGCTTATGGAGATTGTATTGAGAAAACTATAACGTACATGCTTTCTCTGCGGAATGGTTTCACTGTTACACAACGTATCAACGTTCAACCTTTGCCCGGACCACACCAACATGTAGTTGATGCCCGCCGACCGCCATGGTGGGCGATTTCTCGTTCGCCCAATAACTACCAACGCCCAAACGATGGCAAGGGGAATGATCGTTGAGTTGAACCCCGTGAATTTGCAGCACCTCTTTCCGCGGTATTAGAAGCCAACTCCGAATCATGAGTCGATGATTCTGGAGCATCATCACCCTGAATTCCGCGACGACGTATACTACCCAATCGCACTGGCGCCGAAGGTCTGGACGAAAGCGGACTCGTTCGGGAATGGGTCAAAGACACGGGCGATGACGGGTCCATGAAGTGATCGTCATCCGAAGGCCACCGGTCTCTGGAAGTCGCCATCCGATTTAGTGGAGAATTAGGAGTGGAATAGACCGTTGGTTGACTACCACTGGGAGGTGACTTGGGCTCCCTCGAGAGTGCATTGTGGAAAGTTAGGAGTGTTGGGATTCTCCCTCAGAGGCGAGAGGTCTGCGCGTCGGGATTGAGAAGCAATAGGTCGAGCTGGTTCGCTCAGCGACCGGGAGTGGCGCGCATTCATTGTAGCACTTTCCCTTACTTCCTCCATTTTGGGATCAAATGGTGAGCTGTCAAAGCCTGCCGGTGACTCAAACGTGGAGCTGCGTTGCTGGTATGATACTGAGTACGTTTTCCCAACATATCAGAATGATAATTCTTACCCCATTTCGAAGCGAACGTTCCCTGGAGACGATGACATCCTCATCGTGCGCGTGGCCTGTCCGGTGAGAGGACAAGGTCGTTTCTGGAGGATGAGTTTGGTCAAAGCTTAGTAACTCTGCTTGCAAGTGCGACTGGACGTCTTGCAGCCTAAAGGAACGTAAGTGACAAAGATGACAACACATATCGTATCAATACTTTGTAAGCTTGAGGGTCTCAAGGACTTCTTTAGCCAGGGCTTGAACAACTTGTTTCTCTCCTTTGCTCTTCAGAGTCGATTTGCGTATTGGACTGTTAAATCATCAAACGATCAGAAAGTTTTCTCAACGTTTACCACAAAGAGGTTTACCTCGTGATATGTTCCATAGACTTTTGGAGTCCAGCGTTGATTATATCCTGTCTAAATGTGCCGGTGTGGACCAAGGCTTTCAGTATCTTGCAAGACTCAGATAACATAACTTCATATGCCGTTTGGCTGCTAGTCAGCTGAGACAAATCACGCCGACGGCCATGCCAACGAAGAAAACCTGGGAAAGGCCGCAATGCCGACAATGAGTTGATAAACTATAAGAGCCAGTTCAGTTTCAAAAGGAGGGCTGAGAAAGGATAGTATGCCATCGGTGTGAGTTGAAGAATACGGTTGAACTAAGACGTACAGTACTAGTACCTCCGAATCTTCAAAAATTTGCATGATGTTTCTCGTCCGGATCGCCTCGTCGCCTTTGTGAAAACCTTCCCGTCTCTAGTGCAGACCTTGCCCTGATATGGCGTTGGTGTTGTTCAGGGGCATATGATGATCGCGGGAGCACAGAAGTGACCATTATTTCTGATCTTCATCCCAAACAACCATATGTTCATTCCAAGGCGGTGAATGACTTTCCCCCGTCACCGTTCCTACCCAGCTCCTCCACGTTACTACCATCCTTTCTGCCTTGATGCCGTTGACTTAACGACTGGAGAAACCGAGCCCCGTCATCCATCGCTCTCTTCTTGTTAAGCCATGAAAACGTCAAGATTTGGTGTCAAGGCGCAAGAGGCGTTGCCTTCACGCTTTAACCTCGCCACCAAACTCCAACGTACCTTTATTGTGGCCCCTTATCTTTGTGGACTGACGAGAGATATAGATGAACACTTAGTACTTAGGGTCCATTGGGGAAGGGATGGCGGGATTGTTTGCCGATTAGTAGTGATGGAGGGCTGGACAACGTACAATGTCTCTATCATCACCACTACGAGGGGAGAAAGGACCGGGGTTCGAAACTCGAGACCTCCCACTTTCCGTGTTTCCCAGCGCAAACTCGACCACAATCATTTCGTCACCGCAGCGGCCCTACTCCCTATGGCCTCTTGCTGAGGCCGTGCTACTGTGGATCCCTGCTCTTATCGTCCTAGTGTTTTATGGGTCAGGAGCCGGTACCCAGGAGGCTGTTTTCAAAACATCGAAGAGCCTCTTCCTCCGAAACACCGCAGCCTGGAGGTCATCCAACGACCAACATAGGGCGGCAAATCATCACTGCGCAAATGCGCTGTTTTGGAGTTTGCCACGTCATCCTCAATGTACGCCGACCTCACCACAACCACTACGACCTTGTAGCCTGCACGGTCCAGGCATTCAAGTTGCCTTGTGGCGATAGGTGGCAGTCCATCACTCCTTTGACGCACTATCCTCCTTGCGATTGTCACGATCGCCTACTCCAATCCCAACTTTTTTTGGCCATTCTTCCCAAGATACTGAAAGTTTTGTCTCATCGTCTTACCGTCTTCCCTTCGCTTGTCACGTCTATCAAAATTGACAGCTGGCATTTGGCCGGATCCCCACACAACAAACTCAACATAGCTCCTCCCAACGTACTTATTGGCGCTTCTTTCTCCTCTCCCATCCCCTTCCCGTCTTCTCTTTGCTTTTCCCAAAGATGAAGAACGACAGCTGGCACCCCATTCAGTCTCAGGCAGCAGAAATGACATGGCAATCCTCGATCAAGACTAAGCAACATGTCGGCCACTGCTCCGGTGTTATGGATTGAACGTCCACCGTGACCAGCCCGTTGAAGAGACAGGACCCAAGCAATGTCCCCGTTCAAGTTGATGCGAACGCCGGGAAAGAGGTGCTCAATGCACGATGTGCATGCGATCCACTGTCGCTTTGAAGAGCCGCAGTGTTCTTTACAATCACGACTAACTCGAGGTATGTAGGTTCTGATCCTCTTCTCTACATCATCAAAAATTCAGATTTCCTTCGTAGGCCGCGCCTCTCTTCGGGCGAGATGCAACGGGAAATCATGGGAACGTTTTAGAAGCCTGTTTTCCGGGACAACTTGGTCGAGAACAATGATTTAGGGAGAACTCTTCCTTTGATGAGATACGTGGAAGACTTCCCCACATACCGCGGTCCGCTCGCGACACACGTTCGCCTACCAATCTGGATGGTCTTATACCCAAGCTGTAGTACTTTTCCCCCACTTTCTCCGGCTTTTTCTTCTACTCCCTCGCTGTTCAATCTACAAAGCACACTCGCACCCCCTCCTCACTAAAGTTGACATCGTGACCCTCGCTAAGCAAGCTGTTTACGACTTCTTGCAAAGGGGTCAGGCGTTAAACGCTTGCGGACCTCTTCAGTTTCACTACCACGCCTAGGTTCGCCTACCAATCTGGATGGCCTTATACCCAAGCTGCAGTACCTTCTCCGGGCTTTTTCTTCCTTCCCCTCCCTGTTTCTCCGGATTCCATCCACGAAAACACTCGCACCCCTTCCCTTCTACAACAAAGTTGACATCGTGGCCTTCGCGAAGAAACCTGTTCACGACCTTTTACAACACGGTCAGGGGTTTAACGCTTCAAGTGCTACTACCCCCCAAGATCAACTTTAGTCCTGAGGAACCTCGTTGCTCGTCGTGATCATCACTGCTTTTGAGGTACCCTTTTGCTCATCCTCCCCCACACGTTATCGAAAGTTTACACCATTGACGTGCGTAATGCCGTCATTGACTCGGTGCTGCTGCGTGGATCATAGACCACAACTTGGCGGGGTAGCCGTTGTAAGGGCTCAAGGCAAGCTCGGTTGAAGCAAACTTGCTGGAGAGGTTGAGCAAGGTGGAGGTTGTAGGGATCGAGTTACGCTTGCCCAGCAAGCTGGCGAAGCACTCCTTTCACCCCTTTTTCGACACTCAGGCAGGGAGGCGTAATGCCTCTCAATCGACCACTGCCATAAACACTAGTTCGCCTGTAACTTGGCGCCGAGTTGTAGGCTCTCATTGAAGACGAAAGAGCCGCTGATGAGGGTTTGGAATGGTAAGATTAGGGCTGAGAACGTGTTGGTGGGAGGGATTGAATCGGCTTTCGTTGTGGTTGTTGTCGAAAGGGGCACCTGCTTTATGTAGGGTTTATGGTACCCAATGTTTCCCCAGTCCATTCCCAACCCCGACAACGCCCTATTATCGTCAGTTTCAAGCTCCGTATGGGATGGATGGTGAACGTCCATCGAGTAGCAACGAAGCAAGGCTTTAAGAAGTCAGGCCTTCAGGCGTTGAAGAGGTCGAATACAACATGTGCAATGAGATTGCATGGGGAATACTACTATCTGCAGACGACAACGAAATTGTTTCGCTGTTATACAATGTATCAGAATGGAAAAAGTGCTCAGTGCTCAGCGCTCAACTCTTGCCCAACCCCCCGGCAACACTAATATGTGCCCACCGCCATGACTATCGACGTATGCTCCCAAACGATGGCAAGTAAGATGGTCGTGGTCGAGCTGAACCTTGTGAACTTGCGGCGCCTCTTTCTCCGGTATTGGAGGCAAACTCCGAATCATGAGTCGATGATTCCGGAGCATCGTCATCCTGAATCCTGCGACGACCTGAACCACCCAATCGCGCTGGCGCCGAAGGTCCGTACGAGAGCGGAATCGTTCGGGAATGGGTCAAAGCTACGGGCGATGACGGATCCATGAGGTAGTCGTCGTCTGAAGACCGCTGGTGTCTGGAAGTCGCCGTCCGATTTAGAGGAGAATTAGGGGCGGAATGGACCATTGGCTGACGACCGGGAGGTGAGTTGGGCTCCCTTTCTTCCAAATCCTCTTCGAAGGGAGTGTCTTCTAGAAAGTTTGAAGTGTTGGGATTCTCGCTCAGAGGCGGGAGGTCTGTGCGTCGGGATTGAGGAGCAATAGGTCGGGCTGGGTCGCTCAGCGACCGGGAGTGGCGTGCATTCATTGCAGCACTTTGCCTTACTTCCTCCATTTCGGGGTCAAGTGCTGATCTGTCAAAGCCTCGTGACTCAAACATGGAGTTGAGTCGCTGGTGTGATATTGAGTATGTTTTTCCAGCATATCGAAATGATAGTTCTTACCTTATTTCGATGCGAACGTTCCCGAGAGACGATGGCATCCTCGTCGTTTGCGTGGCCTGTCCGGTGGGAGGTGGAGGACGTTGCTGGAGTATGAGTTTGATCATTACTTAGTAATTCCCCTTGCAAGTGCGACTGAACGTCGCGCTGCCTAAAGGAACGTAAGTTACGAAAATGGCAACAACAGCATATTAATACTTCGAAAGCTTGAGCGTCTCAAGGACTTCTTTGGCCAGGACTTGAGCAGCTTGTTTGTCTCCTTTGATCTTAAGAGTCGATTTTCGTATTGGACTATAACATCATCAACGATCAGAAAGTTCTCTCAAGTTAACACAAAGATATTTACCTCGTAATATGTTCCATAGATTTCTGGAGTCCAGCGTCGATTATATGCTGTCTAAATGTGCCGGTGTGGACTAAGGCCTTCAATATCTTGCAAGATCCGATGACTTCATATGCCGTTTGGCTGCTCGATAGGTGCATGAGTTCTGGAAGAATCCTGGCTTTGATTAGCGCGTTTCGGCCATTATCCGAATGTTCAGCGATAATAAGACAAATATCGAGGGTATATTTTTTGCAATCGATGTCTGTGACGGTGTACCGAGGACTATATTCATTGATCAGGGGAAAGCGACGACAGTACTAAACACACAAACACACCTTAACCACCTGACCACGTGTGCAACTATCCCGCTGTCGATGACTGGCGAATGCGGAGAGTGTTGAACGATCCTCAATAGCAAGCGGAAAGCTCTGAGATGTACACCTAAAGCGACATCTTCTTTCCTCAAAATAATGCACAAAGAAGGTAGGGAATCTTCAACCAGTCGTCCAGCATGGTCTGGTGCGGCCATAAACAAAGTACAAAGAGCGTCCAGGCTTGATTCTTGAGCTCCTTTTTCACCCACACTAAAAATTTCTCATGAGCTTGAGTCTCCATTTCGAGGAAAACGAAAGATTCCTACATCGCAACCCATGACAGATACTCGCCAATCCCTTCATTCATAATCCTCCCGGAACGCGAGGCAGAGCCCGTAGAGAGCAATTGGATGATGCTGGAACAATCGCGACGCATAGCCGCATCTTGACCCTTCAAATACTTTCCAATGGCTGGAACAAACAGGGGCTCAGCCGCAAACCACTCCTTCTGGTTCTCGTGACAATTTTTAATCACAGAGTGAGCCGCCTCTAGGTATGACCGGACAACGTTTTCATCATCGATCCTGTTAAAAGTTTCGTAAGCCCGGGGATGCAGTGAGAGAAAAGGGGTCAAGAGTCACCTCAATACATCGACGAGTATATTCAATCTTCGTCGTTCCACAAGCTTGGGGACCACGATAGGAGCCCACTCCCGAAGAAGTGACGTGACCGACGGATTGCGAAGCCTCTTTTCATCGAAAAGAAGAGGGATCAAATCAGGTAGAATATCGCTTTTATAAACCCTCATATCACTCGACCACGTTTGGTAAAGTTCGGTGGAGAGACCAGAATCGGGGTCACTGGAGTACAAGGTCAACCTATGTGCACTACCAGAACAATAATGATAAAACACTGACTCGAACAACGAAAACAATGCCCTAGCGGATTCGTCGTGAAGAAAGAGGATGTAGCTCAGATGCATAACGATGCTCCGAAGTAACTTGAGAGACTGCTGCCGTTGAGACTGATCGTTGTGTAATCTTAAAGCAGAGGTTAAAATGTCTGGGTTTGCGTTCACAAGTCGTTCGTGCTCAAATGAGCCGCCTTTGGCGAGCACTTGGATGGTCGCTTCAACAGCAGCGATGCCCACATCTCCACCATTGCTAGAATTCAATCAATATTTTAGTAAACGGAGTCCTGATGAGATCATTGAGAACTTACCGTACAAGATAAAGCAGCTCCGCTTCCTTTTCGTTCGATACAAACGTAAATCCTGACAATGAAATGGCTGCAAAAAGTTATGGGTTGAAGAATAGCCAAAAGACCTGTTACAATTACCTTGTAAGATCGATGGAATTGAGGTCGAGGACTGGTTTTCTAGACTATGAAGCAGTGTTGGGAGCATGAAACCGCGGGATACTTCTGAAGTCTTTGCCAGTACTGATATTGCCCCAGAAGCTGCCTCGCGGACGTTTCCCCGGTCATTTCTAATGTTTGTAAAAATGGATAAACTTGCCCATGGAATCAGTGACTTACTTGAGGCTCTCAAAGAGTATGTCGATCTCAACGCGATTCTCTAAATACGGCGCCGCCTTGGGAAGGATGCGACACCACAGTTCGCGAATATCATCACTGGCAGCTGTCAGGCAATGAAGAATGCGAATGATAGAGGCTTTGGCCATATTCTCCATGTTGCCATAGCGCGAATCGATTGCATTTTTTAGTGCCTGAATTGCCGAAATACAAAGCCGAGGCTCTGTGTGTTCCAACAGAGGGAACAAAGTGGCTCCACCGTCGTCTTGAGTGAATGAAGGCCCGAGCAAAGGAAGGAGGCAGTTCGACAGAAATTCAAGCAAATCATCCTTTGCTGGGGTGTACGCTCGGAGGGTCGCCGATAATACTTTTGCATGAACGAGTCTTCCACGTGTCGTTTCATCCGATGTTTGAATGTGAGTACGGAGCTGAACAATAATTGGTTTTCGCACACGGACGTCTTCGCTGTGGAGTATCTTGAAAATTTGGGTGAAATCTCCGTCTGCCACAAGATCATCCGCTAGTGAATGTGAGAGGCAGTCGGCTGCAACCTCACAGAGCAAAGGAGAACTCTGTTCGAGCTTAGGTAAAAGGGCCTTCCTCAAGCTTGATCTCTGTGTAATCGGGCCACTTGCAAGAACCACAATTGAGTTGCTTGCTGCAGCCCGAATTTGTTCTTGTGAATGACTAGGTTCATGATTGTCAGTGAGGTGATATCAGACCGAGGATAGTATCATTCGACTCACTCCACCAGCATAAAAATCAAAGCTATCTTGCCTGCTTCGAGGTAGTCACAAGCAAGCATTGGAATGATAGCGGCCAACAGGTCCGCTTGTGTGTGGTCCAAGCGATCCCCTCGAGCGACCAAATTGCGTATGATGTCTTTCTCCACTAAGTGTTTTCGTTCTGGTGCAGATCCACTACCTATGGTTTTAAGGGCAGTAGCAGCGCCATCGCGCACCTTCGGTTCTTTGTGAGCTACAAGGTTGATGATGTCGCTGGCGTGGCCATTTCGAGCCAAGGATAACGCTAGCACCTCAAGTGCCCTAGTGACGAAGTCCAGAGCCTCCGAGTTGTCACTGTTTGATAGTGAACGAAGCAGGGCAATGATGTTTGCTTTTTCCAGTGACTCGTGATAATCCGCGTTCATTAAATTTTGTTTCAGGCTGATCATGGCGGATGTTTGTATAGGCTTCTTGGCATGTTCAATGAGGCCAAAGATTTTTGGGAAGTCATTCAGGAGCGCAAGGTCAGGTCCAATCCAATCCCCAATCGCCTTGACTGCATATTCGATCAAAGAATCGCTGGGAAGTTTAAGGCGATCCAGGATGACGGCCCGTAGAGTTTCCCGGCTTCCGATATCGGTGATGGAAATAGCCGACAATGCATTGTGGGCTGCATCCTGAGCATACGATGATCTGGACCTTAAGTACCGATCAGCTGGTTTCATGGGGAAAATGATTACATGTGCATACCCGAGAAGTTGTAGAAGGCCACCGCACGCCTCGGAAGACGTACGCAGGAATGGCACCAAACGTGTGAGAATTTTTGACGCAGTTTCAAGTCCGTCATCCGGATATTCTTCAAGATGTGACTGCAGTTCCTTAAATATGCCCGCTTTCAAGAGCACTTGACAATTTCCGTCACTATTTTCCGAGGCGATTTGAATGCCACGCAATGCGGCCTGTCGTAGATGCTCGTTCTTAGCGCCTAGAAAGGCAACAAGTTTCTGAGTGGGGGGAACGCCAGCTCTGGTGATCTCTATCGCCATTGGTGTGCAGCAATCAGCCCCTAGGGCGACAGCATCAGGATAAGGAGAGGTGCAGAGCTCAAAAATGACATCGAGGAGGTGGTCGTGGACAATTTTTGAACGGGAGCTAGGCGAGTTGCGGACGATATCCCGCCAGACCTGTTGTGCCGGATGGCGGAGTTGCGATTCGGAGTGTTGAACGTACTTGGCAATCTTGGTAAAATCACCGGATGCGGCCCAGTCTCGACAGAACGCAGGCATTGCAAAGGCATATACTTCCAATGTGCTTTTCTTCGTAATGCTAAGCTTTGCAACTTCGGCGAAAAGGTGGGTGCGATCTTCCACGGTGGATTCTACAACTTTCTTGCACGCCGACAGGCAAGCGGTGACGACGCTGGAGTCAGGATGATCCAAAAACCGTACGATTCCATTAACAGCTTTGGCGCGCACATGAGGGATAGCCAGTGCCAAAAGTAACCTGATGATGAGCTTGACGATCTCGGGGGATTGCAAGGGGCAGTCATTAAGTTTTCTCAACAAGTCCGTTTTGACAAACGTCTGAAAGACCACAGGGTCTTCGTTCGTCACACACGTGTTGAAAACCTTGATGACAGTAGCCGCTATCTCTGCATTCTGATCGTCAAGTCGAATCAAAAGCCATTGAATGGCCGAAGGCCCGGGACGGCGGAACAGCTTGTCTGCTACCAAGGGCAGAAGTTCCACAAAAAAGGTGATGACGTCGGCGGGAGGGGATGAGGATTGGTAGTATGGATCCAGTAAACCTAAAATGTGAGCCTGGACAATGCCATCTTGGTTTCGATCATTCCGGGCCAAGTAGACGATCTTTTGCAACACAATCTGCCGGATCGACGTGATCCTGTGGCTGACGAGAGGTGCGATGGCCGACCACAGGCCATTGTTGAAGCAATCTTCAATAATTCTTGGTGCAACTTCTTTAACGAAGTCAATAGAGGGATGTACCACCTGTTCATGAGGGGCTGGAATGGGTATCTGGGGGATAGCCAATGCCATAGCTTCGTATGCGGGCTGTACGACCGAAAGCTCCATGCGAACCATCTGGCGAAGACAGCGAACGGCCAATTGACTGGACAACTCGTTCATCTCCACTAAGTACCCGGCTAATCGTTGACACTGCCCACCAAGTGCTAGTGCCCTCGCCATGGGAGGCGCAGAGACAGTCTCCTCTGCGAACCGTAATACCGATTCCACCGGTTTAGCTGTAGAGGAAACAAGCTGATGAAGTTTTGGAAGGATATCCGGAGCGATGTCTGGAGGCGTGAATCTGACGAAGTTGGGTGGAAGGTTCTGGTTACCCCCAATACAGGTGGCAATATTATTCATCGCATGCTTCCGGATCTTATCACTGGGGTGTCTGTGTTGAACAAATTTATTCCAGGAAAGACGCGGAGGAATGACTTTAACATACGTTAGATTTTCAACCACATTTCTAGGGCTCGATTTTGCGAAGGAATCCTCAATGTATACTTCTGATGAGGTCCTGTGGTCGCAGTCATCATTCTGTAAGCTGTGATCATGACAGAACAACATAACGAACCTATTTCGACGCCGCTGGTCCTCCTGCAACTCAAGTTGTTGAGCCCTTTTCGCAAGAATCCCTCTGTCCCTTTCGACGACAGCTACCTCATTTTCAAGTTCCCTTTGACGCGATTTAATGACAGCTGTCTCGCGCCAGTTGTCAGCTTCTTGTTGCGCGACACGTTGCCTGTCAGCTTCAAGTTTGAGCCTCAACTCGTTGACAGCTCTTTGCTCCTCCCGCATTCGCTGTTCGAATCGGACGACAATTTCATTCTCAAATTGGCTAAGAGCGAGTTTAGTTTCAGCCCTGTGGCCAAAATGGAAGAAACCTCACCGGCGGGCAACAGCTAGTGTTCCTGGAGAAAATATCTCATCTTGTGACTGCAATACAAAGTCAGCCTGGGGGATTTCGCGAGCGATCGACGATTTGGCTTACAGAAGGCATCTCTAAGCTGCAGCGTTCAGAAGGTCATTTAAAAACCGAAATCGGCGGTTCTACTTATGCAATTCAGATAAGCGCCGCAGTCTTCAAAAAGACTTTCAGGGTCAAAGCTGTGAAAACAGCGCTGTACATGGGAAAGCGCTCTGCAGTGTATCCCGCAGCCTTACTTGCACGATAGTACCAAAGCCATTTATCTTTGAAAACGTCATGTCGTGGGCAGTACTGATTCCTCTTTATCTCAGCCTCCCGTCGTTCTGAAAGCTGGAAAGTGATCGCTTAGTCCGCAACATGATAACGTACAATGCAATCTGAGATTGACAGTTTCCTATGATGGACCCCATTTACAACGATAAGTAAATAGGGTTGATCCGCGTCACAGAAGAAGAAACTTGCTTGCAGGTAAGAATAGATCATGCTCTGACAATTGTGGTTGGAGCACGCCAACATAGCGTCTATACAAAAACAACGTTGAGCGTGGAAGTCAAGCCCCCTGGAGAAGATGGCAAGAGACGGTCAATGAGAAAACTTACTCAAATATGTCTGTGATGGCGAGCATCAGGTCGACAAACATGTGTGTTTTGCAGGATTGCGTAACGAGTTTCAGGTGTGGGGCAAGTCAGAAGATTTACGGAGACCTTAACCGACACCCATTTCCAACGGCGCTCGGGATTCACCGCAAGTTGGTGGTCCGGAGATGAAAGTGGACGCCCGATTCAAACATGAAAATGAGGCGCAAATTTGTGCACCACCACCGCGCTATGCTATTGGATAAACGTCATTGTAAGCCAACTCGGAGAGGACAGCTTTGACAAACTTTTTCAAAGGATTGACATTCATGTCATCGATAACACTGTGTACGGCACCACAATCGATAACGGGTCGACTGCAACACAGATATCTCTACATCGACCGTTATTCGTCATTGTCCTCCTCGTAGATTATTTTCCTTGTGTCGGGGTCGCCTGATATAACGCCGGGTAAGAGTAAAAGCTATTAAAAAGGGGGGCAGAACAGCGCCGGCAAAGAGGGCGTCAAGTTTCTTTGGAAGCTGACCAAAAAAAACGTGGCCGAGTTCGCATGCAATTCCGCACTGGCGCCGTTTGACATGATCGAGGGGGTAGAAGGCTTGCGTACTTCAAACTGGAGCACCAAAGGGGTAGAAGCCGACAATTCGACGCCACACCACCAGCCTGAACATTTGACATAACCTAGTGTGGCTTGAGGGGAGTCCTTCGGACGTGAAAAACACAGAACGCCGAACTTCATGTTAAGTCGTGCCGAATGGTACCCCGTGAGAGAAGGGTCTCTAACGGCAAGATAGAAGAAATCATCCAAATCAATCAGATGACCATGGTCCATGGGTACATGCAGAGACCAGTCACCAATTCAAGTTGACACAATCCGTTCCCGGAGGGCCGGAGTCGACCTGCTGACTTCCTGGAGGGTTTCCCCAGATTTCCCTTTGCCGCCGAATGATCCCGATGTCGCCTGAACCGAGCACGACGAAGGATACAGGCTAGGTGGCGACGCGGCTGCATAAGTCGAACGCGACCTTAACATTCCCTACGTGCCCCGGCAATAGGTAGCAAAACGAGCCATCCTGGAGGTACCAGAATTCGCATCAAAACCCACCCAAAGCAATCTCAAGGGGTACTCAACCACACTTCCCTCGCTAGCTAAGGGTGCAAGTTACCTATTGAAACGGATATTAGTGCCATCACACACTCGAAAATACATCGAGAAACGGACTTATGAAGAACACCGGGCTCCTTACGCCCCATAGAGTCGGCAAGTAACTTGAACTGCGACATCAGAATCAAAGAGAGTAACTATCAAAATTTGAGAGGCGGCATTGAGTATGCAGTCGAGGGTTAAATGCATCGACTGATCGGACTGACGTTGTGGGTGCGTACAGGCAATGCAGTTCACGCTTTTCGAACGGAACGGTTTTGAGCGGGGAAGGACATCCTGTTCCCCAATTGCTCGTGCTTTCTTTTCTTCGCCCACAACCCGGTAAGGTAGGAAAGTCTTCAGATGATGACAGGGATTGGGATTCCAAGAGAGATGGGAGGGGTAAAACTGTCGCGTCTTCCAGCCCACAATCAGAAAAGAGGTCGGCACCTCAGGAAGAGCCCGCCAAAGGATGAACGAATACATAGACTGCAAGGTGCGGCATAGTGTCAAGCTACCCTTAGGATAGCCCATTGATTGCGTGATTCTTCGACTGAGTTTGGTCATCTAAAAGTCAATGTTAGCATGGCATTCCCACGTAAGCATGTCAGAGACTTACTCTTTGCACAGGCGAGGCTTTTCGATCCGAATGAACTAAATCGTTCGTAGGACCAGAAGAGGCCGAGCCGCAGGCAAACCTGTCCCCGACAAGACCGTCATATGGGCCCGCATTGAGTTTTCGGTTAGGCGACGAGGGGGAGAGAGAGGCTTGGAGAACGCTGCAGGAGTAGGGGACCTACAAGGCCAACAAGCTCCCTCTGCGGTGCGTGTCTTGGCGCTGAAGGGTGGTGATTCATTGAAGTCGACACAAGTCGAGGATGTCACGCTCAACATGACTTTCACATCACTCTCAACAGAACAACCATCATCAACTTTACTCTTGCAAGTTGCTCGACGCAGCCCCCTCACACATTCTCCTCTCCAGGTCATTCGAAAGGTCTTGCTCAACAAGACTCGGCCTCCCTAGTCAACTTGAGCCTCTCCACCTCCATCTCCGCATAACCTCCTCTCGTGGTGTGAACGAAGGGAAACCATTCTGCGCGCCATTATAACACTCCTAACGCCCGCCCTGCGTTCACCACCAAAGCGAAATGCTCCAATGCATTTGAGGCTTTCTGGGATCGCTTGTTGCTCTCCAGCCAGATATGGAAGATGCAACGACAGATTAACTAGCTAGAGAGGAGGAAATGAAGCGGTCGAAGGTGCCTGCTGTTATGCGTGCAGCGAAGCGTGCGGAAGGAGAGGGTTGTGAAGGATCTTATTTGAGAGTCGAAGGAGGGCAAGCGGGTTGTTGGACAGATGAAGGAGGCGTATGAGCGTAAGCTCTTCGAGTTGGCGGGAGAATGGAGCCGCGAGTGCAGAAAGATTGCCAGGAGTTTGACGTGCATCTTCTTTTCCAGCTGTTGATCGAGTTCTTTGAAGTCCACGAGGACTTGGTTGGATCTGGTTACGAGGTCGTGAGGGTGCGGATGGGGTGATGTGTGCTGGCAGCGTTGCGGGTGAAGATGTGGTGAAGGCGCAGCTCAGTTGGGGCAGAGTGAATTCCGAATCTTAGTCTCGGATGGGGAGTAGGGGTGCTTTTACCCATGGATGTAGTCCGATGCTGAGTGGAAGGAGGGGAATGCGACGCCGATAAAAGAGCGATTGCTGTCCGTGAATTGTACCCACATTGAAGTGACCCGTCGGCGTCAACATTTCAGGGTTTTTGGTTCAGCCTGGGGTTGGGCTAGAAGACATCCAAGTATTAACAGCCGGATAATGTGTGAAGAACGTTGGTGCATAACGTGGATGAGCGCAGCGTAAAAAGAGTCACGGTTGAAATTGGACATGTGTGCTGGAGCCATAAACACGAAGGAGGGATTAGATGAGAATTACCACTGATCGAACTTGATCGTCCTAATTGCTGAGGTAGCATTGTTGAGCTATGTTCGTTGATCTAATGACGGAGAATGGTTCTGTTTGGCAACGTTGAACGTTGATGACTCAAGTGCACATCGACGATTATTATTCGTAATAAGATTCCCATAGACATTTCTAACCATTCTCCTCAACCGCAAATTTCATTAAATCCTCGAACGTGCTTCCCCGATGCAACTGGACCACTAGTTCCTTTGGCCGCCCAGTTTCTCCACTCCCCCAGATGACCAGAGAAAGTGTCACTCCCCAGCCGCTCGATCCTCCCTCGATCGCGACACAACCCAAATACATGACCCGCGACGGCTCAGCCTCCTGGAATTCAACATATAACCCACTCACTCCCACCCTTCCTAGTCAACATCGGCTCGCCTACGGCCTCCCTCTCCACACACCCCCAAAACCGCGTTGGCCACCCAATACCGGCTCAACGCACACAGAGTCAACACAATCATCTCCACCCATTAGTCTTCCGGTCCTTCGAGCGTTCAACATGTCCCTTGCGAGAGCGCATTATCGATCTGGGTATAAACGTCGACTTTTGCGGATTTACGACACCATGGTATGCGGTGAGGGCGAAGGGAAAGATGACGATGAGTATGCCTATGCATTTGAGCTGCGTATCGTGGTGTCAGAATCCTGGCGACGATACTAGTGAGGCTGCTCATACCTGGTAGGTTCAAAATCTGGAGGGAGGTGGGAAAGCCATGCCACGGTAAAGAGGGTGATGTTCATGAGCGTCATGGAGATGGTCTAGGCTGTCGAAAGGTTCTGAGGGAAGGAAGGAAGCGGGCTGGAGGGGTGAATTTTTTTCCCAGTGGACACGAATGTACTACGTAATCTGACCTGATTGGAACGAGAGGAGGTCAGGGCTACGACAAAAGGAGCTATTGATAGATGTTACCCACCTCCGAATTGAGATTCGTGGCGGTATTTCACGGAGGTAAAGGTAACGTCCAAGTATTTTTTCGAAGTTATGGTGGGACTAGATCAAATATAAAGATCAATGGCTGGATGTGGCGTGAAGGTATTGTGCGTACCCTGTGGTCTACGTGCTTGAGCGGCGTTGACTTCGAGTAGTGTAGTAGAATTAAACTGCCGCTCGCATTCCATGACGGGTATGAAAACCGAACGCTTGGGGGATCGTCGGGGAATGACTACAACAATGTTAACATGTAGTATTCAACGACAGAATGTCGTACTCACCTCTCGCCCAACGTACAGCTCCCAACTCGATGTTCATACTCAAGCTACCGAAATACACCATTAAGAGAGAGAGACACCAGCGGTCGTGCAGTTCTGGTATGCCGTAAGCCGTACAGGGTAGTTTGAAGATACAAGTCGTTGTTGAAGGAGTAGCGGGAGGACGAAGTTCGTGCAGTTAGGCCGCTGATCGTGGGTACTGGTGTCCTTGAAACTGTGGCTCGACAGCAGTGTGTCGGGCAGGATAACGGGGTCCTTTGAGCTTGTAAGGAGCGATCAAGTTTCGAAAACGCCGAGTGGAGTGCCATTAGATGTCGGCTGTGAACGTCGTTGAGTTAGTCGAGTAAACGACAAGATACGAAGTCTGAGCCTGACACACCTCGAGAAAACATTCACCTGCTTGGAAAATCGCGGGAGCAGCTGCAAACGACTGCAGGAGTAGTGAAGGTGGCGATGTTGTCGACGAGGTCGTGGTGGTTGGAATCATCTGGCGAAGAGTATCTCTATTTGTCCCTCTTAGCCTTTCTTCAAATCTGGTCCGCGCTATCAGGCCGTGGATGGCGGGGACCTCGACCCATTCATCGTCCATTTCCGTCATGATTCATCCCCCACCAGACAAAGATCCAAGAAGCCGTGCGTCCGTGTCGTCTGAAAGGCACTCCCAATGATCGACATCAGTCAGGAGGGCGGTGAGAATGGCAAGAACAAAGTTGGAGGAGGAGGAGCTGTGGAACAGGCATGTTGTCAAATTTGAGAGGAGTGCGAAGGTCGGCTGTCGTTGATCGTTGGTTTCATCGAGGAGAAGGAGCGGGCGAATCTGGGTGTCTGAGGGAATACGCTGAGTTTTCAGTGCAGATAGCTGGTTTAATGATCCTTAGCAACCGCCGGTTTTGAATAGAAAAGACTGTGGACTCACTTTACATTCTCTCCATCAGGAAAACCGACCTAGCACGGCCAACGGTGGGGGCTTGACGAATCAAATATGTTGGGACTCGAACTGACCCTATAAGCCACCGCGCAGCAACTCCAGCTCCGAATTTTCAGCTATCAAAATGGATGTTCAGAGAGGGGCGAACTCGACGATGATCCGCCCACTCACTTTGAGACATTCTATTGTTAAGACGGAAAAAAAGATGTGTAGATTGCGCGCCGTTTTCTGGTTACAGGTATGAGACTTGACAGCGCGCAACCAAATCTGCCATGGGTACTAGAGAAAGAAGGTCAGCAAGGCCCACGTTCGTAGAGTCCACTCGTAAGCACCGCATATACATCAGTCCAATAGGCGCGTTAGGCGCCAACAACGGACTTTAAGTATTCTCTCGTTGTGAGCCCTGCAGGTGCCATACGAAAACAACACACTAGAAAGTTGAGCCCACTCACCAAAGACAGTAAACGACCGAGGAATGAGAAAGACGAAGGCGAGGGCTTGGAGAAGACTCTAGAAGACCGGCGTCAAGAGTCGGAAAAGCCCGGGCACATTCGCAACTGTCTGTAAAAATAGACACAGGCACGCCTTCACCTCGTGGCGCGATTGGGGTTCTGGGTCTGGCAAGGGTTTGGGCGCTGACCTTTCTTTCCCTCCCTCCCTCATCCTTGACGTCCATCTTCGATATCTCATCATGAGCGGAGCGAGCTTCTTTGCGGGCGCTCACCACTTCGTCGCCAACAACGGCACATTCATTGAAGCTAAGACTGTGAGTGTAATGTTTGCTAAAAGTATCTGTCAAGCAAGTTGACAGCGTTGGATCTGTTGTAGGTCCACATCCACGGCAATGAGAGGACGGGGGTCATTCCATTTATGCCAAACCCCAGCACTCGGTTCACTGGGCGTACAGAAGCCATTGCGAAACTTAAGCAGCATTTTTTTTCCAACCCAAATGATGTAGTTCAGAAGAGAAAGCTTTTCTTGTTATATGGAATGGGGGGTATTGGAAAGACTCAGATTTGCTTAAAGTTTGTTGAGGAAATGTCTGACCAGTGAGTACCTATTGTACACCAGTCTGGCCCTACTTGAAAAATTGAATTGTCCCCAGCTTCTCTCAAGTTTTTTGGGTTGATGCATCCTCCTCAGGTACCATCATGCAGGCACTGAAAGGTATTAGTCAGTCTTGTGGATTGGATGGCTCATCTGAGTCTGCTCTCTGGTGGATTGGCTCTCTGAAAGAGAATTACATCCTGATCTTTGACAATGCTGATGTTCTGTCACCTGCTGCACTGGAGGGATATTTCCCACCTGGAGTGTGGGGAAACATTCTGATTACTAGTCGTAACTCTGCCATGATGACTCTGACTTCATGTCAGAATTCTCTTGAAGTGACTGAAATGGAAGAGAGGGATGCTATTGCACTACTTCTGAAAGCCAGTTGCTTGGAATCATTCACATCAGATCATCAAATTCATGCCTCTAAGATTGTAACAGAGCTCTTCTGCTTTCCTCTTGCTATTGACCAAGCTGGTGCTTATATTGCTTCTGGGGCCACAACTATTGGAGACTACCTAGCAAAATATTCAGAGCATCAAAAAACATTATTATCTCATTCTGAATTTACTGGGGCTTCTAAGTATAACAAAACTGTCTATGAAACTTGGGAGCTATCATACAAAGAAATTCAGCAAAGGGCTAAATCAGATGATTCTTATAAGGCCAATGCAGCCAACAGTGCAATGCTACTTCTAGAATTATTTCCTTTCTTCCATCATGAGGAAATATCTGAGGAAATCTTTTCTTATGCTGCCCTTCTAGAAAATGATGAAACTCCTATGTCAGACTTACCTCTTGCCAGTTCACTGCTGGATCAAAGACTACTCCCTCTTTCTGAGACAGGTACTTGGGATAATTTCATTTTTAGAGAGGGAATTCGAACGTTACTGTCTTTTTCTTTAATCAGGAAGGGCCTATCTGATAATGCATATGCAATGCATCCACTGGTTCATACCTGGGGCAGGGACAGATTGACTTTGAGTCAGAGGAAAAAATGTTGCTCAATGGTGTATGTCATGTTGTCTTGTTCACTAAGATGGAATGCAGACCAGCCATATGGATTCCAGAGGACCTTGGTAACACATGTGAGAGCAAATATGGAGTATTTAAAAGCAGAAAGCAATCGGAATATCATCAATTATATGGATGATGCTTATGCAAAATTTGGGAGGCTGTTGACGGAACAAGGATATTCAAAAGAAGCAGAAACCTTAGAGGTTGAAATTTTGGATAAAAGGAACAAAATGCTTGGAGTGGAACACCCAGACACAATCAGAGCCATGGCAAATCTAGCACTTACATATCAGAGCCTGGGAAAATACACAGAGGCAGAGACACTAAACATCCAAGTTCTGGATGCAAGGAAGAGAATTCTTGGAGTGGAACACCCATACACAATCAAGCCATGGCAAATCTAGCATCTTCATATGGAAAACTGGGAAAATACACAGAGGCAGAGACACTAAAGATCCAAGTTCTGGATGCAAGGAAGAGAATTCTTGGAGTGGAACACCCATACACAATCAAGCCATGGCAAATCTAGCATCTTCATATGGAGCCTGGGAAAATACACAGAGGCAGAGACACTAGAGATCCAAGTTCTGGATGCAAGGAAGAGAATTCTTGGAGTGGAACACCCAGACACAATCAGAGCCATGGCAAATCTAGCATCTTCATATGGAAACTGGGAAAATACACAGAGGCAGAGACACTAGAGATCCAAGTTCTGGATGCAAGGAAGAGAATTCTTGGAGTGGAACACCCAGAGACAATCAGAGCCATGGCAAATCTAGCATCTTCATATTCAAACCTGGGAAAATACACAGAGGCAGAGACACTGGAGATCCAAGTTCTGGATGCAAGGAAGAGAATTCTTGGAGTGGAACACCCAGAGACAATCTGAGCCATGGCAAATCTAGCATCTTCATATTCAAACCTGGGAAAATACACAGAGGCAGAGACACTGGAGATCCAAGTTCTGGATGCAAGGAAGAGAATTCTTGGAGTGGAACACCCAGACACAATTAGAGCCATGGCAAATCTAGCAGTAACATATCAGAGCCTGGGAAAATACACAGAGGCAGAGACACTGGAGATCCAAGTTCTGGATGCAAGCAAGAGAATTCTTGGAGTGGAACACCCAGACACAATCAGAGCCATGGAAAATCTAGCATCTTCATATGGAAACCTGGGAAAATACACGGAGGCAGAGACACTGGAGATCCAAGTTCTGGATGCAAGCAAGAGAATTCTTGGAGTGGAACACCCAGACACAATCAGAGCCATGGCAAATCTAGCATCTTCATATGGAAACCTGGGAAAATACACAGAGGCAGAGACACTGGAGATCCAAGTTCTGGATGCAAGGAAGAGAATTCTTGGAGTGCAACACCCCCATACCATTCTAGCCATGGAAAACTTAGCAGCCACCCTTAGAAGTCTGGGAAAGTACACAGAGGCAGAGAAGCTAGTCATCCAAGTTAAGGCAGTCAAAAGCAGAGTTATTGGAGCAACATCCCGCCATGAAAATGTCACTATGACCAATGTCCAAGAAACTGAGGAGACTTCAAGAATGAATTCTGACAAAAAAGGTGTGTACTCATGTTAATTACTTTCTAAACCATATCTCATGTTTATATAATTAGTATATTCTTTGTCCAATCTTGTAAAGAAAACTTCAAAAATCATGTCTAAAATAGCACATCCATTTCATAAGAAGAACACTCAACAATGATGAATTAACAGGAACTAGTTTTTAATTCCCCTCCCACAATGATTCCATGCTTCTTAGTGATATTCTATCCTGTACTGATGTCTTGATATGCTGTTTAGTATATTGAATGGAATATTTTTGTGTGACTGTTTTAATTAACAAGTGATTTAATGTAAGTATATCAAAATTATTTCATATTTTTACAGACTTTGAAGAAAATTGGCCCATGACATTGGTGATATTCTTCTCAGAATGAAGGACAAATTTCACTACAACTTCACTGTGATATGTTTAGAACTTTCACAGGACTTTTGCAGGCACCAGGTTAGCTATATATACACAAGTGGAATCAACCAACAGAGGACTCCTGACATGTGGCTCAAAAGTTGGACCACAAAATGAACAGATTTCCTGAAAATATGGAACAAAAAAATTTATGTTGGTGCTGGAAGGCCATATTCATTGTGTGGACAGAAATGTCATGATGCCAGGAGGCTGGGTACCAGAAACAGACAGATATCCAAGCAGGTATGTGATAGATGGTAGCTTTGGGGTTCAATCCCTGAGGTATAGTTGTTTTGTATTTTCTCACTCCATTTATTATTATTTTTGAAATACATTTCTGTTCTCCCTGAGCATGCAATAAATCACACCATTGGCTCTGAATTTAATTATTATAGTAGGTGTACAGTCACAGACAATCAAACTCTGCTTATTTTTGTGCCCCTTTTTGTAACCATCAAACTGAGTCCAGAGCCTTGGTAGAGTGAAAATATACTAGCATTGAATATTAGAAGAATATTTTCACTGGCTGTGAGGGTAGCACAGAGTCCTTGCTTTTGATGTGCTTTTGAATTGATTTCACTTCGCTTTCAGGTTTGATTTTGGACACGGCAGCTTCCAAAAGTGCCGTTCAACTCTGATCGTACAGTTGAAAGCAATGTGAAAGCAAGCCAAAGCTAAATGCCAAGCTTGTCGGAGTTTGAATATGATAGTCACAAATTATGTAGTGGGTATAATCCCATCCATTCCCTCCATAATGTCTAATATGCCTACGTGTACAGAGAGACAACAAGCAGCAGATGCCTTGCATCAAGCTTTCCTTGTAAATTTTATTGCTGAGCTAGAGAGCTGTGAATTGAGGATGGCGAGGACTGTTGATACAGATGAAACCATTTCACCTGTATAAAATTCAATTTTAACGATTTTACCGATAAAGGTCATTTCTAATAAATACACTACATACAATTGCAATGATACAAAGAGTCAATGTGCATACCCAGTGCAGTTGACTAAAAATGCAAATGCGTGCAATCTGAAAATAGGACAAGGCTTTGGAACTGGCAGCAGTACACATCGTGACATTATACTTGGATCCTATCTAGGATTCACCTACCATGAAATAGAGCACGAAGAGGTTCTAGAGTAAACACCCAACGCAGGGAGAAGAATTGCATTACTACCAAAGGGTTTAGAAACACATAATGGATTTATTGTGAAAACTCATGCTTATACAAGAAATACAGAAAAGACGACATAGACACTTAAACGGCATGTCTGAAACATTGAAAGACTAAACTACACCTAGGTAGTAAACATACGAAGACTTAGCGTGGCTCACGGCCATTCAGAAAGTCATGTACGGCAGTTCCCGTGTACGCATCAAAGACTGATGCGTCTGAACGTCACAAGTCCAAACATGAGAAAAAGACACCTTCTATTATATGAAATATAATAAGAACCCCCTGACAATTAAGAAAGACATTTGAAAACACCTTCGGAGTGTCTCCTGACCTCTGTAATGAAAAGACAAGCCAAGACAAGGCATTTTAATTAAAAACTCGGAAACGACGGAAGGCCGAAGACTATTGGTAAACGCATACGCATGCGCATCAACGCATCAGGAAATGTTAATCATTTTGTGATGTCATCTGTCAAACCGGTAAACCGGGCCATAGAAAGAAACACATGAGATCATGCCAAGCTAAGAATAGCTATGTTGGCTAACTCCGCGTATGCATCAAACACTGATGCGTTTGAAAATGAAAGACGCGACACTACAAAATCTGTAGTGTTCACAGAGATAGACTACAAAATATACCACACATTCATTAAATTTCATATTTGTAATTCGGAACAAAGTATCCCACATTAAAACACATGTAAAACATAGATAGGGGTTCCTGGAGTATATAAGGAGTGCGCTGGCAGGTCAAAAGGCAAGCAATCGCCCCCCGTTGACCAGCTAGTTGCACTCCAAGTAGGAACTTAGGAGGTGGACAGTTGTAATCAATTAAAGGAGGTTTCTTTGTGGTCAGAAAAGTACAGTGTGAACGAAGCCAGCGTGCTTGGGAGTCAACTTACTTGGAGACTTTTGAATAAGAGGTTTTAAAAACACAGTATCATTTAGACGAGACAGCATACTCGTACCCTTAGTTTTGGAGTGTAGTGACATAAATAAAAACTCATGGGAGTCATAAAAGTCAATTGAAGTCGTGTTTTGTGTTAATAAAAGAAACTGTGATCAAAGAATTTTGCATTTAAGAGACCAAGTTCCCAGAAAGACATACTTTGTTCTATTGAACTATTCTAAACCACACCTTATAATAAAAACCCATTTTTGAGACGAAATCTCTTGAGACTTAAACCTAAGAAGACAAAAGTGGTATTTCTTAATACCAAAGGCCCTTGAACTCGTGCACTGAGATTGTGATAGTGTGTGTGTGTGTGTGTGTGTGTGTGTGTGAGTGTTTAGGTGTTTAGGGTTTTCCCAACGCGCTTGATCCTTTTTTGCATGTTTTGCACTTTCACAGTCATCCCCGTGCAATGCGTATCATCTGGAGCCCACCGCGAGGGTCTCCTTTTGCTTTTGATAAAGCAAAGACTTGAAAGTTTAGTGATCTACGGGATCATTTATTTAAACGAAAAGTTTAAATTAAAAAACCGCTAGCCTTTGAAGCAATCTAAATACTAGTGCAGAGCTGTTCACCACAGCACCAAAAATCAGACAAACAGCAAATTCTATTAAAGCAGGGGAATCGTCAGGTTTACCACCTCCATCTAAACGAAAAGCTAAGCAACCTGCAACAGCAGTAGCGCAAAGGTTTCTGTTAAGAACCGAGACAGTATCCCAACCGCCTCCTTGTGTGACTCGTAGAAAAACTGTTAGGGCACCTGATAATATAAACTCGAACTCATTAGCCCAAAGAAATATTACAAACATGCCAGATAATAACCAAGATGAAGCTCCTGCCACTGGAGGCAGAAGATCGTCTAGACCGATGTCATTGCCAGGCTCCCAAGGAGCCTCTAACTTCGACAAGGAAAAACCCATTGAGCTGTTAAGATTCATTGACCAAATGGAGGACTTGTTCACAGAGCATGGTATTGATGATGATCAAGAAAAGAAGAAACAGTTAGAAAGGTATACAGACCAAATGACAGAATTTGAATGGCGAGCATTTGACACTTTTGCTCCCGAAGTTGAATACAAGGAGTTTAAACAGGCGTTGATCGATGACTATCCAGAGGCAAAGAATGCTGGAAAAGGAACACTAGCAAATTTGAGAAAAAATTGTAATGACCATCAGCGCATTGATATTGATGACATTGTTGCACTTAAAAGCCTCACTAGAGGTTTCCGAGCAGAACAAAAATTACTCTTGGTGCCACCTGCCTTGGTGAGCAACAGAGAATTGGTAGAACTGTTTTTAGGATGTCTAAGGGATAGTTTCCGAGGACAAGTGGAAGGAAGTCTCAATATTAAATTTTCCAAAGATGATAAAGGAAAAACTGCTGAAGGAAAAGAACGCCGTCCAGAGGATCCATATGCTATCCTAGATGTAATTGAAATGGCTGAGACTATTGCAGGACGTGCACAAGGGATTAGCTCTTCAAGTGATACCCAGGTTGGTGTCAATGCGACAGAAACACGGACGACACAAGAGCATCACACGCATACTACGCCAGTACATAGTGTTAAGCTAGAAGATGATATCCGAGAATTAAACCAGAAAGTTGCGTTACTCATGGATAAAATTACATTGAGTGAAAAAGCACAAATGAGTGCCTTCCAAGCATCTAGACAAGAAATGAACAAATTAACTGAGACGTTAATGACCCAGCATGTTACCTCAGCACCCACCATGAGGCAGACACAGCCTACTTGGAGAATGGGTTCAGACGGATGCTGGTACTGTGAAGAAACAGGGCATTTCGCGATGAATTGTCCTCATAGGGAAGAACATATTAGAATGGGAAAAATTAAAATGTTCGGTCATAAGATGTTTTTCGCGCTCACAGGACAACCAGTACCTAGAGGGACAAATGGGAAGTCTGCTAAAATGATTGTTGAGGAAGCTAGCAATAAAGAGATGATGGCGCAAAGCAATATGTTTGCATTGCCTGGAGACATTTACACCCAGAACAGTGGAGAGCCAGGTATCGTCCAGTTGGGAATAGATGCTCGAGTTAAATCAGTATACACCAACCAGATTAGAGATTCGAGAGATGATATGTTAGATAAAATGGCTACTCGAATTGATACACTGTTGGGTAATAAGGTGCTGGCACAGGTGGCACGTCCATTGGCACAAGAAGTTGACATAGTCAACAATATGAAAAACATTCTGTCATATTTTGAGGGACAGCAAGGTCAAGGTCAAGAAGCTGCAAGTTATGTAGCTACTAGACACAGTCAAGCTGATACTCAGAGACAGCAGGGTTTCTTGTAGGTTCAAGGATTGAGTGATCTGGTAGGAATGCGGTCAATACCAGAAGTAAGAAAGCTCTTGAGAACCAAACTAAAGCCAAAAACCACAGACAACTAGCAGAATTCAAAGATTCTGATGATGAGCAAGAAGAAGAAATTAAAAAATGTGGAGGAAGAAATTCCTCCTGTAGTAATTAAGAAAACCCAGAAAGCTATACCAAAACCAAAAGAGAAGCCTAAACCACTTCTCCCAAGGGATGATGAAGAGGAGGATCCAGTGCCTAGGCATAAACAGTTACCATACTTAAATATTCCTGACCTGAATGATCCAAGACAAAAAGAAGAAATAAAGGTTGATAATTTTGAGCCAATTATTGATACTGAGAAAAGACCTGTTTCTTATAAACACCAAGCACCAATTGAGAATGTGACACACGAGAGAGAGGCTTTAGTGAATCTCTATAATGCCCCAGTTACACCAACGGCAGAGACTTTGATAAGCATTTCCGTATTAGACACGACTTGATTAAAGCTTTATCTAAGAAAAGGATGCCAGTACAACAAGCTCAAAACCGAAAAGTTACTATGATGGAAGAGCCTGACGTTGATGTGGTACCGTTAAAACCTACAAAATTTGAATTGGAGGCGGACACAATATCCATTAACGATTTAAATATAAAAGTGGCTTTTATAGTGACAACAAGAGATGAAGGAAACATGCCAAAAGGGTCTATCATCATCAGTGATCCAGTAGCACAATACCTGCAGAGTTTAGGCCCGTCTGAGAAACCGAAACAAATCTATGTTGCAAAGGAGTCTCATGTGTTGCGAACTGTCTTCCCTGTAATTAATAGAATGGGACAGATTGAATGTTTATTAGACGCTGGTTCTCAAATTATTGCCATGGATGTGGAAGTGGCTAAGAAATTGGCCATCTCATGGGATCCAGACATAAAAATTCAAATGCAGAGTGCAAACAGGACAGTTGAACAGACCTTGGGTCTTGCCAAGAATGTACCTTTTATCTTTGGAACTATAACAGTATATCTACAAGTCCACATCATCACTGACCCAGCATATAAAGTGCTACCCTTGAAGCTGCTTCATATTGGCTACTTGGTGTAAGACGTTTAATAGTGGAAACAGATGCAAAGTACCTTGCTGGAATGTTAACTAATCCTGGCATGGGACCAAATGCTACTGTAAATAGATGGATTGACAAAATCCTCATGTTCTACTTTACGTTGCAACATGTAAAAGGAAAGACCTTTGCAGCGGATGGACTTTCAAGAAGAGATTGGCAACCTGGAGATGAAGTGTTTTCAAATTCAGAAGAAAACATGGACGAACCAGTGGGCACTCTAGAAGTATTAGCAGATCCTAATGGTGGTGAACTGCCATTGGATTTTGTAGACTTTAAGGACCAAATAGATACTCGTGGAGGTTATATTCTATCATTAGCATTGTCAATTGATGACTTTTATGATGAACTTGATAGAGAAGAAGCAATGAGTGAGCAGTTTGTGGAAAGCATCAAGCAAAAGATTGAAAATGATGATGATAACCTGACTTGTAGTGAAGAACAGAAGGATTTCTTAAGAACCTTCGTAGTATCCACTTTAATCCCAGATTTAAGAGCCAGGTATGATGAAATGGAAACAGAGGACCCATATCCTGAGGAAGGACACTCTTTCCTAGAAAAAGCTCATGATGATTATCTGCCGTTAGTACAGATTTGGTTGAAAAATCCAAATGTTCGACCTGAAAACCTTACAGACAAACAGTATATTTCATTTACAAGATTTGTGAAAGGGTTCTTTGTTGACAAAGAAGACAGATTATACAGAAGAAGCATAGACTCCAGACACAAACTGGTAGTAGACAAATCACATAGAATGTACATGATGCATGCAGCTCATGATAGTCTTGGACATAGAGGTGCATATGCTACGAGAATGATGTTAGGAGAAAGATTCTGGTGGCCAGACATTGAATGTGATATTATGTGGTATGTGAAAACATGCCATCGCTGCCAAGAAAGGTCCAAAAGAATTATAGAAATTCCTCCAACAGTTACTCATACACCCTCTATTTTTCAAGTCCTTCATGCTGATACTGTTCACGTGACACCTGCATCTAATGGATGTAAATACATTGTACATGGAAGATGCACTCTATCCAGTTATATGGAAGGAAGACCTTTGAAGAAAGAAACAGCTCGGACTATAGCACTCTGGCTATTTGAAGAAGTAATTTGCAGATGGGGCTGCCTATCCGAAATTATTACAGATAATGGTGCTGTATTTCTTGCAGCTGTAAGATGGCTTCAAGAAAAGTACAGAATAAAAGGAATACAAATTTCTGCGTACAATTCTAAGGCAAATGGAAGAATTGAGAGACCACATTGGGATGTAGTACAAATGTTAGCCAAATGCTGTGGACCACAGAACCTTGCTAAATGGTATTGGTTCTTTTGGCAGGTACTATGGGCAGATAGAATCACGGTTAGAAAGTGTTTTGGTTGCTCGCCATTTTTCATGGTTACTGGTGCACATCCACTGATTCCGCTCAATGTGCAAGAAGCTACATGGTTAGTTAAATTACCAGATTGTGTTTTAACTACAGAAGAGCTTATTGGCTATAGAGCAAGAGTGTTGGCCAAACACAGGGTTCACATCACAGATATGCGAAGAAGAGTGACATTAGAGAAAATGAAAAGAGTAGCAAAGTATGAAATTGAACATAGGAATAAAATCATTGGTAGAATCTACAAACCAGGGGACTTGGTTCTTGTCCAAAACACGAGCGTTGAGTCGTCCTTGAATAGAAAAATGAAACCACGATATTTAGGCCTGATGATTATAATCAGGCGTTCCAAGGGAGGTTCGTACATTGTGGCAGAAATGGATGGAGCTGTGTTTCAAAATAAAGTTGGGGCCTTTAGAATTATTCCTTACTTTGCAAGGACTAAGATAATGCTTCCCAACGATATTTATGAAATCATAGACCTCAACAAGGAAAGCTTAGACAAATTAGATGACAATGACGATTAGTTTATTAAAAACATGACAAGTCCTTTCTGAGTTAAACAGACAATGAAAACTGCAAATGGTACTCTTCAGAAAATAAAGGTGCATGTGCACAGAACAGATCATCTAGATTTTAAATGTACTATGAAAATACATAAGGACTCTAGGTGCCCTACTAAGTCCATATAATTACCTACTTAAGCGAGAAAAGCCTTGATTTCCTCATAATCCTTGAGCAAGTCAGCAACAGTCTCGTACTCAGCATTAACAACTTCAAAAAGCTTAAGCTCTAAGTCCATGCGCTGAAGGACAGTAATGACGCGGTTGCGCAAGTCCAACTCGGTAGTACAATAATGATCCAGCATGGGTTCGCCTGGCATGGGTTTGTCGAGTACGACTCTGGTACGCTGGGTGATAAAGTCCTTGATGGAACTATCAAGCGACAAAGAGTGTCCTATGCACAGAATGATAAAGATATGGCGTTAGCTTCATGTTATTTCTATAAAAAGACTGAAAGGACGTACCGCGATGACGCTGAAGGTCGGCAAGGTCAGTGGCAGACAAGGGATCAATCCGAGCCTGCTTGTTGCTAGACGATGCAACCTGACCATTCTCGATAGCAGCGGCCTTGAAGTAAATACGATGTTTAGTGTCCATGCCAGGGACAGCAGTGTAAGGAATACGTACAGTCTCTGCACGCTTGAATGGAAACTGACAATGAATTTATGAGCATTTGCTATGTATAATAAAAAGAATGCATCAGGTGGCTTACCTTGGTTGCAGCACGCTTTTTGCCCTTATCCTTGGTAGCAACCTTCGCTTCGACTTCCCCATTGAAGAGGTTGTTGATTTTCATCTGCGCGAATGACTAAGTAAATGAATTGATAAGACCTATGAAAATTAAGAGATACACACGGCGTCAGGACCTGAAGCGGCAGTAATGGGACCGTCAGACGCACCCATTGTGACGTTGACATCTTTTCATTGGGATATTTCATTCAGCTCCTTGACCCTTTCATTACCATTTCATTGAATTTTCATTAGAATATTTCATTATGTTCCTTGACCCTTTCATTACCATTTCTTATGGTTTTCAGTAGGATATTTCATTAGGCTCCTTGGCGCTTTCATTAGATTTTCTTAGAATTTTCATTGGAATATTTCATTCAGCTCCTTGACTCTTTCATTACCATTTCATGGAATTCTCATTAGAATATTTCATTAGGCTTCTTGGTGCTTTCATTAGGATATTTCATTGAGCACCTTGACAATTTCATTACTTCTCATCAGGCTCCCTGGCACTTTCATTACCAAAACTAGATAATAATGATGATATGTATCACATGGGTTGTTGGGAGGGTGATCACATGACCAATTTCCTAAAATGGTCAAAAAACGAAAGTTGTAGCCCTACACTGTAGCTTCCTGAATCTGTTTGAATTATGTTGTGAAGTGCTCCCTTTGTGAAGATATGATGTAAAAGATTCTTCCAAGTGCTGTGTTTTTTTTGCATTTTTCTCCATGCAAACAAAACCAAATAACATGATTCCAACACATCCAGAAAGCTAAATGAAAGGGCAACAAATATTGTATCATGGGAAAAATGACCAAAAAAGGAAGGTGCATTCCCTGAAAGAGCAATTGACACTGACAGACCACAAGAGTCAGATATAGACTACCAGGTTTGCTGATAGACTACAAAAAGTTGGACATAGGCTACAAAAGTCAGACATAGACTACAAACTTTACTGATAGACTACAGAAGACTACAAAAGTTGGACTTAGACTACAAAGTTAAGGTTAGGTTAAAAGGTTATCCACACTACAAACTTTTGTAGTCTGCGCTTTTCCATTAGAAAATTTTGTAGTGTCCGCTTTTTTAGACTACAAAAGTTTGTAGTGTGTGCCTTTTTATTAGAAAAGTTTATAGTGTCTGCTATTTAGACCACACAAGTTTGTAGTGTCCACTTTTGTGTTAGAAGAGTTTGTAGTGTCCGCTTTTTTAGACCACAAAAGTTTGTAGTCTGCGTCTTTTTATTAGAAAAGTTTGTAGTGTCCACTTTTTAGACTACAAAAGTTTGTAGTGTCCGCTTTTTCATTAGAAAAGTTTGTAGTGTCCGCTTTTTGAGGCTACAAAAGCTTGTAGTTGACATATAGTTTATAGTGTCCTCGACTCTGTATAGGTTATGGGGATGAGGTGAAAGGATTGACATGATTTTACATATTGCCATTGCTGCAGCATTGGTTTTTGACATCATGTACAAGTTGTCTTTCATGTCAAGAAAGGCTATTCTATGCCTTCCTAATGATAGCTACTGTCCTATCTCAAATC